ATATATTATAGAAGCTATCAGTGTTGAATTCTCTCATAAAATAACTGATAAGCTTGAATGAGTCTTTCATTATATGTATTCTACACTCAGAGTTCTCTTAAAAGTTCAGTTCCACAACATTACTAATATGTGTCTGTAGATACTCTGATTAACAAACTTCTTTATATAAAAATAAATGAAGAACTTATCTTGAATCTTTTCAAAATAATACATTTTCAGTTCTTTATTATATTTCTCACTTATCTCTTATATTCAGAACATTAATACTCTGTTCTGCATGCAGTATTGAGAGAGAAGTAGACATTCTGAACAATGTTTGAAATTCTGTTATAGCTCAGTATTAGAAAGAATATTTATTTTAACTTAATAATTATAGTCTTCTCTCTAGCACTCATCTTCTTGATGTAAAGCACAGTTATATGAAGTGTCATTGAATGTGCAAGCTTTGAATCAGTTGTGTTTTTCTCTTCTGTTGCAGTAGTTATAATGAAAGTAAAGAATGAAGCCACCACTCTCAGTTTCAGATCAACAGCTATCATTCAGAAAAGCATGCACTTCATCAGAGTGACTGAAGATATGATTGTCATAACTAATATTAATAACAGCACAGTGATCTTGATCTTTTGAGAGATGGATAGCTGGAGAAAAGTACATTTTTATATAGATATATTTCAGAGCAAGACATAATATTAATATAATAAACTTCAATTCAATGAAAGAACTGCTCTGAGACAAGACTGTATCTCTGAAATTAATTACAACAAGTCAATCAGTTTTGCAAATGTTCTGCATTGCATTTGAGCAGATCAATCATCTCAACTGAAATTATTGATCTGCAGATTCAGAGCCTGCAGATTTGCAGATCTCAACATCACATATTGATTTACTGCTTTATATTTATCTATAAGTATATGATTAAAATTCTGTTAAAGATCTTTTAAATCTTTCTTTCTTTCATTCTCAGTGTCATATATCAGTAATTCTTATATTGTTTATTATACTACTTGACAATCAGAATTTCATCTGCTGCAACTTCTTGACTTTTCAACTCTTCTCTTTAATCAGCCATCCTTCAGCTACAACATGATTCACAGAAATTATAAGAAGTTTATGAAACTTCTTGTATAAAGTCAGATTCATGAAGCTGCTATACAGTTACAGCAAACTGCAGACACTCCAGCTATGTCAGAGATGTCATCAGAAGATTATATATTTTTAAAACTCAATATATTTACAGATCTGAATGATGCTGAAGAAGCTTACAATTCAGCAGTATATTCATCTTTCTTTCTCTTTGAATGTAGATTTTTGAACTTACTGTTGAATGTGCAGGACAGTATCATCTCCAACATTTTAAATATTGATTCTGAATCAGAAGACACAAGAGTTGATGACATTATTAAAAAGACTCTCATGCATATGTTACTTAACATTGACAAACTCAATGAAGATGAGAATATTATCTATAATTCTGTATTAACAGATATAACAGACAGACAGTTGATTGAAAGCAGTATTCTGAATATGAAAGATAATACTTCTCAGACAGTATCACACATGAGAGTCAGAGAACATGAGAGTCTCAGCCACTTTGCAATTGCACTGAAGTTGTGATGTGAACAGTCAGAAATATCTCATCAGCAGTATCAATTACTCTGAAAAGTACTCAATCTACTTGAGAATATCTACATCATCAAATCTCTACTCAAAAATCTTAATGTTCTGAAGAGAAAGTGTAGATCACAGTTTCTTATTTTACTTATTTAATAAATATTCATTTTAATTATTCTGCAGCAGATATTATCATTATTCACTGCAAGCAGAAATCTATTTAGAGCTCTGTTACAGTCAGATTTATTCTTTCAGAATTCTATTGCTCTAATTGCAGCTCTTGCTCAGTCATCAGAATTCCATCAGAACATACATCTTGATATGACTGAGTTAATAGACAGTTCAACTGAACTATGACAGTCTCTCAGTTGAGATAGCTCCATAAGATCTACTTTAAGAGACTTCACAAGATATTCTGATGAAGAATCAGTATTCTTCTTAAATTTTGTTCAATACAGATGCAGCTTAAGCAAATGCTCATGCAGAGTGAGACAGCATGTCTTTCATACAGAAAGAATTCAATTTATCATCTGAGATTAAAGATTTAATATCTTGAAATCTGACAAGATTCTTCTGAGAATTCAATCTATCATTCAACAAGACTTCAACTCAGACAGTACATTATTTCAAGACATGAAATCAGCTTTTCATGAGAGAAAATTGCTCTTGTTAGAGAATAAAGAGCAACAGATTTTATTGCATGAAGAAAATATATTCAGTCAACTGAATATTTTTCTTAATTATGTTTTTGACAGAAATCCACAAGATCCATCTTCTACACATGCTGAATACTTTATGCATTGAATTTTTAATATAATCAATAACTGGATGAATATCTGCTCACTTAATTATAGTACTTTTCTGCATGAGAAACTAAAGATTGTCTACTATAACAGAGATAATCTCAAGAGAATACTCTGTCCCAATTATATAATAACACAGATTATCTCTATTTCATTCCAGCTTTTTATTAATGAGTTTGAGTTATATCATAACATGTACAGAAACATTACAGACTTCTATTTAATTTTCATCAGATTTTCTGTCTTCAAGAGAAGAAGAAGAAACAATATCTACATCATCTCATTCAGATCACACACAACAAACTTTTTTAATTCAGTTGATGCACTCACATCAGAATTTCAATCTCTCAATAAAGATATTAATGTTAAAATTACTGATGAGAGAACTGTCAGAATAATTACTTTCTGTCTTGTTTTTTTGAGTGACATGTCACAGCAGAATAATAATACAGCAATTAAAAGACTCTCAATCACTCAATCATATCAGAATTGCACTGTTGCTGAACATCAGAGATATAATATATTATTTGACACAGTGATCAACAGTTGATATCACTATCAGCAACTTTATATACAGAACTGGATTAATGCAGCATTTATCACTGTTATGAGAGACAAGCTGTAAAAGAAGCATGAAATGATAAAGAATCAGTTTTCAATATTTAAAATCTGTTTATATCTGAATTTAATAATCTTCTTTCTCTCAGATTTCTGTTATAGTGAACTAAGTGATATTTTCAAAATGATGCATTTACTGTTAATAACATATATTCTTACAGCAAATAATCAGAAGAAATACTGTTGAATATTACAGCAGTTTTTATTTGCAAGACAGAGCAGCTGAATACAGTTTTTAATAATTCATTTGAACTTCTATCAGATTCAGAAGCATGCTCAAGCATTTATTATAATTTCAATTATTCTCTGATATGCTATAACTTCAGACTGGATTCAATCAGTAGTACAGCAGACATTATGCAATTTCTTTAATAATACAATACTTAAATTAAGAGCTTCATGTATACTTCTTGCTAAAGCATTCAGTACTGTTGCTCAGAATAACTCTGCATTAATATTACAAATATCAATTAAGTCAGCAAAACTTCAGATTATTGTGATGAAAGATCACTCTCTGCTATAAAAGATAATAGACACTGCTGCAACAGCTGTTGAGCTGTTATAATTAAAAGATTAAGCACTTATGATTTTACAATCTCAGCAGATCTTCATATCAAGTCAGACATTATGAATAGAGAATTCAACTGAACAGTTAAGTAGCACCACATCAAAGACAGAAAAAATCTTGAATATATTAAAGAATTATTTCAACATGCACATTGAGATATATTATACTGATCAGACACAGAAATATGAAATTATAAACAACTGCAATATGTTAATTGAAGAGAATAAGCATCACAAATACAAGAGTCTAGTACAGAAAATCAACAAGTAAGATATTGAAAAGATATTGCTTATACAGAAAAGTTTCAAACATACTCTATTTCTGTTATTAACTGATTTTTTTATTAATTTGAAGTCTCTTGCTACAGATCACTTCTGAATTCTCCATCATGAATATTCCATACTGATAACTGAACTGCTGCAACTGAATATACATAATCAGAATAATGATGAAGACTCCAGCATTTCAGAGTTATAATACAGACTAACAGACATACATATCACATCTAATATTTTTTTTCAGTTATGATCAGATGAAGACATTCAAGCACTCAGAATTTCAACAATACATCTGTTAAAACTGTCAATTCTTGACTCATTTCTTCAGTAACTGCAGAAATCATACAGAAAAGACTGGTATATACTTAATATAAATGAATTTGAATTCATCTTAATTCAGTTCTTTAAGAAGACTATATTTGAATTTCATGACAACATTCATCAAACAACAATAGCTCTTGATGACATTATTGAATATACTCACATGTTAAGTATTAAAATAAAGCAAATCACAGACATTTTCATACATTGCTGAGAGAGACAGCATCTTATATTCTTCACAGTAGTCTGAGTTCATGAAATCAAGCATAATGCAGTATTGAACTTGTCAGTTCTGCAGATGAGAAGAGAGAAGTTTAATCTGATAGATTTTTTAGTAATCTGCAGATCTAGCTTGCACACAATATCAGTCAGCACTGATACTGAGAAACTTGTGTTGGATTTTTACTTACTGAATACATTTCTTCACTGCACCTGGAAGATGTTGTTGTTATGATTTGAAGCTGGCTGGCAGCTCAGAAATCTAAAAGTAGCAAAATAGCTAGATAGCTAGATAGCTGTGTTAGATAGAAGTCTCAATAAAGTAATCTTACATTCAGAACTTCTTCTTACCATGCTATGTAGATCAACATACAACAATCTGGTGACTACATCAGGATTCCAAATGGGCAATGGCAACATAGCAGGATTCCATTACTGTAGGGTTATGGTAACATAAGCTATGATGCATATGATTGGATGTATGGTTATATTACTGTAATATTATGGTAATCAAAAAATCCATTTTTCCGGTATGGCTCTGCTGGTTAAGAAGCTCCCAGCAACCAACAACAAAGGAACACCATGTCGAGCAAGCTTCTTTACTCCTGGCATTTGGTCTGGGACTGGTTGACTGCCACCCGAACCTCCTCAAGGGTATGTCGCTCTATCCTGCATGTCTTTGTGGAACCACATATAAAACAGCCAGCTGATAGTTAACGCCCGCACAGTCACCCCGCGTTCCCCCCTTGACCCCATAGCCCCTTGTTTCCTCCCAAAGACTCGAAAATGGACGACGCCGCTCAAGGCTCAAAGGCCTTGTCTGCCTCCGATTTTTCGTCTGCCATAAAATGTTACACACAGGCCCTGACGGTCAATCCTCAGGCGGCAGATTACTATGTCAAGCGGTCTGCGGCGTACTTGCGTTTGAAGCCGGAAGATGGAGGACCCAACGCGGAGGCGGCTCTCCGAGATGCTGAGGTTGCGGTTCTTTTGGGCATGAAGCGGGCCAGGCGAGAGTCTATCATTGCAGCGCAGCTGAGGCGGGCGATTGCGCTCTATCAGCTGGGCCGATTTGGTGATGCGGATTTCTTGCTAGAAATGCTTAAAGACAAGCTGAAGATTGCTGAGGCTGTGGCGAAGGAAAAAGCGGCGGGAGTCTCACTCGCAGCGCTGGCGTCTCAGAAGGGTCGTGGTAGTAACCATCAGGAGCTGCAGATCTGGGGCATGAAGGCGAAATCTCAACTCAACAAGTTGGAGCCTGAGGATAAGAGAGCGATTGTGACTGTCAACGAAATCCCTGATGTTGTCCTCCCCGAGCCGGAGGAGTTGAAAAAGTGGCATCAATTGGAATTACGGGAGATGGGCGTTGGGGTTAACAGGGCATCGGTAGCCCTCGAAAAGATTGTCGCATCCGAAGAGAAACCCAAAGTGCAAGAGACCACGACGGCCACTAACGCTATGTCTTCCGCCGAGGTGAAAAGCAACTCGCAATCGCCCCCGACGTCTTCCCTCCCTCAACACCCGATTAGCAAGAAGTATAGGCATGAATGGTACCAAAACAACGACACTGTCGTTGTTACTCTCTATGCAAAGGGGGTTCCCAAGGACGAAACCAAAATAGATATTCAAGAACATTCTGTAAGGTGGATGATTATTGTCTGTGCTTCACACACGCTGACCCTCTGCCTTCACAGTTGTCAATCACGTTTCCTACAAGCGCCGGGTCTGATTTTACCTTTGATTTGGACCCCTTATTTGGTGCCATAGACCCTACGGCATCTACATCGTCCATCATGTCGACCAAAATCGAAATCAATCTCCGCAAAAAGCAACCAGGCCATAAATGGGGATCCCTTGAGACAACCGCAGTCGCCAACACATCATCCGTAATGTCTCCTCCGCGAGCTTTTACTACCGGCAAGGCACCATCGTACCCTACCTCCGCTCGCGGTGGCGCCAAGGACTGGGACAAAGTTGCAGCGGATCTAAGCAAAAAGAACAAATCCAAGGTCAAGGACGATGGAAGCAAGGAGGAAGAGCTTGACTCTGATCTAGATGAATACAACTCTGGTGATCCGGTTGACGCCTTTTTCAAGAAACTTTATGCGGGCGCTGATGATGACACACGACGTGCGATGATGAAGAGTTATTATGAAAGCAAAGGGACGGCGTTGAGTACCAACTGGAGTGAAGTTGGCAAAGGCCCGGTCCAGGAACATCCTCCGACGGACGACTAGAATGCTCAGTCGATAGCTTTCTACAGATTTGGGGGGATGAAATGCCGGAACTCTCTTTTGCAGCGCACTGTATACATTGATTTCTTCACGCAAGGCGCTAAGGGGTTCGGATTTAACTCTTAAAAGGGTAGAAACATGACGGCGGCGTAGCATGGGATCTTGTTGTTAGCTAAGTGAGACCTCTTCTTCAATGATGATATGATACTCAGGAACTAAGACTCGCATGTTCTAGAGATCAAGTTAATATCACTAATAAAATGCTATCTTGATTGACCAACTGATCGTTCCTGTGATACTATCAATATTTCCAGTACTAGATCTCGTTTAACATGGGCACCAAACGAAACCACTCGCCTAGCTCTGCTTGAATATGTCAGATTTTAATTTTGGCGGCTGAAATCAAATGTACAGACAGGTAGATATTCATATTCATACGTCAGTTTCGTCCTCGTCATCCTTTCCTTGATACATGATGAACTGCGCAAAAATGGCCAGATCTAAAAACAGAGTGCCCAGACTGCCCAATAACCAAGAAGAATTGACTAGCAAGTATCTTCCATATAATCTTTGCTGCTCACCAGGCTGACAGCGTCCTCTGCGGTCCGCACACACTGGCGAGTATGCAAATATCGAGAGCACATAGGTCAAATTCCCGATACACGCGAATAAGAAGAAGAGCAGAGACACTCCTTCCGTGCTCTTCCGGCGCCAATTCAGTAACAGCTGCGGTATCCGACTGCTCAGGTAAAGCACTGCACACAAATATCCAAATATCTGGCCAAGCACATCGAACCTCAACGTGTCCGGTCGCCGCTCCGGCTGTCCTTTGCTCCGTGCGGCGGAGCGTACGCTAACGTACCAACCAAGCACGCCTGCGGCGCAGACGAGTGCGATGGCGAAGGCGTTCCAGATGAGCTTTTGGATTGCAGTTGTTGGCTTGGGAATGGTGCGCGGCGTTGGTTTGGCGGGTTCGAGAAGGGGCATTGCGGGAGAGAGATGGGTGCCGTCGATGTGACCGAGGCGGTCGCGCAGTGAGGACAGAGAGGCGAGGGACGAACGGCGATCTGTGGAGCGTCGCTGCTGGGTTCGTTGAGCACCATTTTGAGCGGTGGAGTCTGCGAGGAGCGGTGTCCTTTCGCTCTGGCCTGATGACAGCCGTGGGGTCTCTTGTTCTTGTTCCCGGCCGTTCCCCTGCTGTTTGTGCGTCTCGTCTGACAGCGTGAAGCCCCGGTAGTAGAAACATTGACCCAACAGGACAATATCGGCGAGCGTGTAATATACGGCGAGTATGATCATCGTCGGGAGAACCCCCTGGAGTACCGCGCCGAGGATGTTGAAGACATCTCCAGCTAACCAGATCACCAAGAAGGTCAGAGAAAGGCCATCTGCAGATCCGCGGCGGAAGTTTTCTATGATCTGGGGCGAGAAGACAACGACCCAGCAGGCAATGGAAATGGAGCTACACAACAGTCAATACTCTGGAGACATTTCTCTATGAGCTGGCTGGAACGTACCCGCAGATGCCACTGAGGGCCTCGATATTCAAGTGAGCCGCTGGGCTTGGAGGGAACATTGCGCCCTTCGACAGGGCGAATAGCTAACTAGATGCTCAGCTGGCGATTCAGTCAATTGGAGAAACATAAACGGTTATCAAGACCGCAATGGATTGCGATTCCAACTCGTTGACTTTTTCAAGAGAGAAGCTTGTCTGTCCCTGCATTTATGACGTAACTAACTACCATCCATCAACTACGCTATATAAGGCATCAATTCACCTCTGATATTCTCAACGTCCGCCGGCAGCAAGCTTCATTTGACATCATCGTGGTCTGTCGATGCGATGGTTTCGTTCCACTCATCCAGCAGCAGCAATGTTTCTCTACACTTCCCGCCAATGGTTCTGATCGCGTCCGGCCCCAGGGGGAGCCTGAGAGGAATCTTGCGACCGGCTGCAACGCCGCTATGAGTGAGAACATCGACGATCACGCTGCAGCCTTTGACTACATCCCCGGGCTGCTTATTATTGACTGTCTCAAGCAGGTCTGCCGTCTCCCGCGCTGGAGTTCCCTCGTAATGAGGGAGTCGGTTTTCCGCTTGGTTCCGGTGCCCTGGATTCAACAGCTGGGATCTGAAGTACCCTGGCTCGATTGAGACGACAGAGATGCCGAACGGGGCCAGCTCGTGGGTCAGGGTCTCTGAGATGCAAGTCAGAGCTGCTTTTGTGGCGCTGTATAGTCCACAGCCAGGCAGCGGGTCCCAGCCAGCGATGCTCGAAACGTTGGCTATTACCCCGGATTTCTGCTCCCGCATATATGGAATTGCAGCACGGGCGACGTTTATGGCACCAAAGACATTGGTATTGAAAGATTCGAGCACCTCGCCGGGGCTTGTTCCAATGTTAGCGGCGCTTTGGTCTTGGAGAAGTGGCCTCCACATACCTCAGCTCCTCGAACGTACCCTCTTTTACGAAAGCTGCATTGTTCACAAGGATATCCAGTCTCTTGTAGATTCCATGGGAATTCTTGAGAGCTTTCTGAATCGTTTCAAAGTCTGCTGAGACATCGAGTTCAACAATGTCCGCTCCGGCCTCCTTCAGCGCGGTGAGCCTGCCTGCATTACGTGCAGTGGCAATGACTTTGTCACCCCTTTTGAGAACTTGAAGAGTGAGCTCTTTCCCGAAGCCTGAAGAGCAGCCAGTGATTAACCACACACGAGGCGCCATTTGGAATACGGAGTAGTGTTTAGGCAAGAGAATCGATCAAGTAGGTGGGCAGATACTTATAACAAGGGCTCTTAAAAGAGGTCAATGGCGGTTCGGAAGGCAAGATCTTGACAACCCCATCTTGATCTCTGGTATTTACACTACTTATATATCTCTCCAGCGGGCATCTTTAGAGATCATGTTGGCTGCTGCCTGCAGTCTCTCGGAGATTATAATTCCTAACTCCAGATTTCGGATATAGCTGTGCTATGCCCAACGCCCGCCAGGCTAGAAGAAAACAAGATTGATCCTTGTTGAGAGTGACTTGTGAAAGCCTCTACCTATTATAGTTGAGAGGGAACCTGAAATTCCCATGATCTTCCATATGGATTTGTCGGTCTATACTATGATGATTGCAGTGTTTTTGGAACCGCTGCGAACAAAATTGACAGAAAATGGCCTTAAGATCTTTGTACGAAATGAAGTGATGGCAGGTAGTTTTACCAAAGCGAGCTCTCCATCGCCACCCCATGCTTAACTGTTTAGTAAGAATTCATGACGTGGTTTGGGCAAGAATGTTCGCGATCCGGACTTAAGAAAATGAGAAGCACCATATCACTCCATGAGTAAGATACACCGTGCTTTGAATATTAGCAGGGATATCCAAGCAAGGATATATTGGGTAGTAAACCTGGGAGGTCTGAGGCAGACTTCGAAGAATATGTGTTCAATCACTGCCTGGATAGCTGCATACTAGCTACTCTTTCATGACCCGTTTTGTCTGGCCAACCATGCCTCATGCTCCCTCTTCTGTCTTTCCCATTCCTTTTTTAGTTTTTTACCCTTACTCTTATTCAAATCCTCGCCAGCGGCATCCTTGGTCGGGATGCCATTCTCATCCCAGGCACTGTATTCGTTGGTGCGGAACATGAGGAGGTGGCTAAGTCTGCCCCTTTGGGCTTTTTCTTGGGCTTCTTTCTCCCTGGCCTCCTTCTCTAGCTGCTTCTTTCTTGCTCTGGCGACCTTCTCCTCCCTTGCGGCCATCAACTCTCTCGAGACTGTGCGCACAACCGCCGGTTGTTCGTGTCGATCCTCAAGGTAGACACCAAGATCAAAAAGATCAACATCACGCAACCGGTCGCAAAGGGCCAAAACTTCTTTGGATATGGTATCAGAAGGTTCGAAAGAATCAAGTTTGGTGCAGAAATCGCTTAGGACTCTCTGATATGGCTTAGCCTCCTCAGACGCATGCGCGTTCTGCTTCAGGGCCTCCTCTCCTTTCGCAGCAACGGACTTTATCACATCGATTGAAAAGCCTGTTTTGCTTCGAGCGCTTTCTCGGAGGTTATCTCTCATGGTAGATAGGGGATAAAGGTAGGGCTTCGCCGCTTCCGGAACTTCGATGCCAGACCAACCGATCTCTTCCGAATCTGGTCCCGCAGAGCCATTAAGTCCTAGTATATTGACTATTGATGTAACCCATTTAGCAACGTCTTTGATATGCTGGGGATTTAGAGTGGATTTGTCTGCGCTGTTGTATTGCGTAACGAGCCCCGATATTGCGATCATGGCACCCGCTGTATTGAATGAATCACACAGGCTTTCATGCACCGCTTTCTGGGCTGCTTTCAATTGATCTGCTAACGAATCGTCTGTCGACGACGGCGTCATGGTCTCAGAGGAGTTTCTCACACTGAGGAAGAAGTTGTTCAGTTTTTCTTCCCATGCATTTCCTGCTTTGACCAGGTCCTCCGTGATTTCAATGCCATCAGCCCAGCTGCCCATCAGGAAAACGATCCGAAGGCTTCTCGGGGTCCAATCACCCCTTTCGAGAGCCTCGCGAATAGTGGTAAAATTCTTCAGTGACTTGGACATCTTTGACCCCTGAATCGACAAGTGGCCCATGTGGAGGAAATAGTTGACCCATTGGTCATGGCTACAACCCTTGTGCCAATACGCTTCACTCTGTGCCAACTCGTTGTCGTGGTGTGGAAAGGCCAAGTCAATGCCACCGGAATGAATATCCATTTGTTTCCCTAGTCGTGCGGATGCCATCGCAGAGCATTCGATATGCCATCCGGGGCGACCGGGACCCCAAGGGCTAGGCCAGCTTGGTTCACCGGGCTTTGACGCTTTCCAAAGTGCAAAATCTGCTTTGGACCGCTTCTCTATACTTTTGTTGATCAATGCGCCTTCGCCATCTGCTTGGAGCGCTGTATCGTTCCTATTCCACGGTTCCAATCGGGCATAATGATTACCAACAGTCTCAAAAGCAGCGATGTCGAAATAGACGGATCCATCGCCGGTCACGTACGCAAAGTTATGCTGAACTATTTGCTCAACGAAGCTGACGATCTCAGGGATAAACTCTGACACTCTGGTGACTTCGTCCGCATCTATAATATTCAAGGCACGCGCATCAGCCATGAACCGATCCTCGAATCTCTTCGTCAGCTTTGTGAAAATCGAGTAGTCCTCGCCGCAAATTGATGATCCATGCAATTTGTCCAAATATGCCAGCATAACGTCTTGGACCAAATCGTAAAAAGGTTTCGCTCAACATTGCGTTTTTGTCCACTATGACATCGGCGAGTGCCCTGGCCGCGGAGGTTACGGTCCTGAGGTGCATTTTGACCTTGGCTTCCTGATCTCCAGGCTTGCTATTCCCGGCAAGGGCTCCTCCGTTTAGGATAAAGCCATATGTCTTTTGTGCTTCGTCGGGGAACCGTTTGGGCGACGGGACATTCTCGATCAAAGGCAGATTCTTCCTCACATAGGCCTCGTACGCCGAGGTAATCGTCTCAATGACGGAATCATCGACGGTAGGATGGGACGTCACGTATTCCATGAACAGGTGCTGTTGCCTGGCTCTGGTGATAATCTTCTTCTAGTCAACCCACCGGCCTTTGTGTCAGGCTAAGAAGGAGTATGTAGTACCTTGTCGTCCACGTCCGTGATGTTCATAATAAATCTCACATCAAACTTGAAGTAGTCCCGCAGCAGCCTTCTCAGAATATCCGTGCTCACGTAGTTTCGCGCATGGCCCAAGTGCGCATCATCGTAGACCGTCGGACCGCAAGCATACCATGTCACTTTCCTGCCCTCGGGGTCGAGGGGAACGAACGGGACTTTGGATCGAGTCAACGAGTTCCATATTTTCAGTGGCGGCAGCCTCGACGTCAACTCCGGGGTTGCTGACGGCTGCTTCCACGGCGGTTGCTCACGCGGGGCAGCCATCGTGGGGGAATGGCTGAAGGATCGAGATATAGCGGGGCGCGAACTGGATCGGAGCTCGTTCGTGGGAGACAGTCGGATGAGAGCGCGGCGGAGAGGGATCATATAGGGAGTTTAAAGGGCCGGATGGAGGGGTGAATGAGTCACTCTCTTTGCCTTTGCGAAACGGAACGGGATACAGACACGAAACCACGGCATAGAGTCGCTTCTGGAGACTTTTCTTTTTTGCTCGTTGCTTGCGGATGTGGCACTAAAGCCGCCTGTCGTGGTTCCAGCGAAGGCTTTTTGGTTGCTTTTTCTCTGCGAATCGTTCGCCATTTTCCCGACAACTCCATCCACGCCAGAACTCACGAATGAGAAGAAGAGAGCAAGCGACCCTGCCGTCAGGATGGTGTCCCCGTTCCTCGCATCCGACCCTGTCGCTGAAGAAGGCTCGCTAGCCATCCTCCACCTCCGTCGCAATCTCCTCACGCCGACAATCCTGAGCGCACGCGACGAGGCGGACCAGGGCTACAAGGAGGGAAAAGTAACCAATACGCGATACGGCTCGTTCCCGCACAGTACGCTAATCAATAAGCCATGGGGCTCGCAAATTCTCGCGTCGAAGGTTGATACCGGGTCAAGGGGCCGGAAGTCCAAGGGCGGCAAGGCGGCGCACTCGTTGAAGAGGAAAGCTGACGAGGTAGAAGCCTCAGAGGAGGGATCGAAAGCGTCAGATGCCGTTGCAGCGACCAGTGGATTTGTTCATCTCTTGCGGCCTACGCCTGAGTCGTGGACATCGTCGTTGCCGCACCGCACGCAAGTCGTTTATACAGCCGATTACAGCTATATCCTCCACCGCCTGCGCGCGCGCCCCGGAAGTTCTATTATAGAGGCCGGTGCTGGAAGTGGCTCCTTTACTCATGCGGCAGCTAGAGCTGTCTTCAACGGATACCCATCGAGCAGCCATTGTGCCAAAAGACGGCGGCTGGGCCAGGTCTCCAGCTTTGAGTTCCACGAGACACGAGTACAAAAGGTTCGCGAGGAGATCAAAGCCCACGGCTTAGATGGGATTGTGCGGGTAAATCATCGCGATGTGTACAATGATGGGTTTCTATTGGGCCCACCGTGGAATGGTGAATCTCCAAAGGCAAACGCCATCTTCCTCGACCTTCCCGCGCCGTGGTTGGCCCTGAAACATCTTGTCCGTAACCCGCCTGATGGCTCCGAATCTCCTTTAGATCCCACATCGCCCGTGCACATATGCACATTTTCCCCGTGCCTTGAACAAGTTCAGCAAACAATCAGTGCCCTGAGACAGCACTCCTGGCTTTCCATATCCATGGTCGAAGTCATGCACCGCAACATTGAAGTAAGAAGGGAGATCTACGCCGTGGAATGCAATGGAGGCCTCCGCGGCTCCATCTCCGGCCCAAGAAACGTCGAAGAAGCCCTTTCCAAGCTGCGATCCGAAGAACAAGCCAGAGCACTACGCGAGAAGCTGCGGGAGAGTCAGTTCAATGACTCAGACCCAGCCAAGGGAGATGAAGAACCCAGCACGGTCGACACGTTGGCGCCGCAGACAAAATCCGTCACTCCTGCGTCCAACGTTCGCCGGTCTGAGCCACAGAAGCCTTCAGTGCCCATATTCAAACAGGGCCGAGTCATTCACCGTTCCGAGCCAGAAATTAAAACACACACATCGTACCTCGTCTTTGCCATACTGCCCCGTGGCTGGTCGGAAGAGGACGAGCGACGGAGTCAAGAGAAGTGGCCATCGTCAAAGTGCGACGCACCCAGGTTCACGGATAAAAAGAGCAAAAAGCAATTGAAACGGGAAGCTAGGGCTGATATAGAAGCGGGAAAGGCCAAAATCCAAAAGGGCGCTGAAAGTAAAGAAACTTGATGAATCTAAAGCCACTGGCTTCCAGGCCATGAACAATCTGAGATGCCAAAATTTTGAGGGCTCTATCATTTGTATTCCCTTGCAGCTATCACATCATTTGAAGCCTTCCCAAGCTACCTAGAGAATAAAACACTAAGCCATGCCGATTGATGCAAAAGGATATGGCTTCTAAATCTATGAAATTAAAAATAGCAGGATATACCAGTGAGTATCTGCGTATCATCATAATCCGTTGTCCCGTTTAAACTTATCCCATGCCTCATTCAACGTGCTAAACACAGCCCCGGCAATCATCCTTTGTTCCGTCGTGGCATTTACCGAAATCTAATTCACGCGCAGAAAAATAAGCCATCATGAAGAAACAAGCATCAACAGCCAACGTACCTTGTCGGGATGCACTTTGGCAATCCCCTTCATATAGTGAATCTTCACTTTATTAGGAAGCACCAGCTCCGCCATACCAAGCTTTTTCCATCCCGTCTCTGGCCATAGAACCGAGTCCAAACTCGCCAACAACGCACGTAAATTATCCTGCTTGCCCCCTTTCCAGGCAGTAAGCCGTGCTTCAACCGTGTCCGCGAGTGCGAATTTCTCATTATCCAGTCGATCAGCGGCTTCGTTCGCCGCGCGGAGCCGACTGACGGCTTCTGCCGGTTTAGCTGGGATTGCAGATTGCGATCTGGCAGCGGGCCTTGGTGTCGCGCGTGGCGGAGGCCGTGCTGAGACGGATGGTCTCGGCGCGGCGGCGGAGGGAGTTCGAATGCCAGCTGCCTTTTCACATCGAGTTCGTCCCTGAATACTAGCACTACCACCGTGGCCGGATTCGACGGTCTCTCGCCAGATTTTGGCGGCATCGGTCCACCGTTCTAATTGCTCCAGCGCTTCCGCTTTTCGCATCATGGCTTTCCCAAAGAATTCCCTCATCTCTTTCATCGGCTCGCCGTTTGCTAAATCTATTTTTTCCGACTCGCCTCTGCTAGGGCCGATGATAGACAGTGCACGGTCTGCGTCACTGATGGCCGTTTTCGGTTCACCGATTTTCAAAGCAGTTAAAGCATGGTTGGTGAGAAGGATGATGGCTACCGGATGGTCGCCTGGTATCAAAGAGATTGCCGTAGAATAGGCTACATGGGCAGCAGCATAGTCACCACGTTTGAAGGCAGCGGCCCCGTCCTGGCGGTGTTTATGCGAAGCCAGGAGCGTCGAGTTGGAAACTGGAGGAATTTGCCTTGGAGAAACTTTGGGCCGCGGAGCTATTGGTGGTGATGCGGTAGGGCGCGACGGGGTCCTGGCAGGTGATGGCGACGCAGCTGCACGGAGCGGTTGGGATGGCTTAGTAGTTCCCTCTAGCAGATCGAGCGCTGGCTCTGCAGAGAGTTTCGGTGTAGTCTTCCTTCGTCTGGCTGGGCTGACATATGCTTCAGAAGCTTGTTCATCGGCGGCTAAACGAGACAGACGAGAACGGCTATCATTGAGAGGCGGGCTCTGAATGTCCTGTTGTGACCGGCGTGGCCGTATAGGTAGTTGATGAGATGGCGGAACGTCTCGCAATGGATTCTGGCGGCCCGTGTGCTGGGGAGGCGGTTGCGGACTTCTGCTTGGTCGCGGAGGCTTACTTGGTGGCGCTCTCTCCATTTCCAGCATGAGCGCTTCATCCGTAACGCTCACGCTGGGTTTCGCCGCTGAGCCGCCTCGCTGTGGCCGCACTTCTGTTTGACTTCGGCCTTCCATCCTTTCCTCTCTCATCCATCGCGGCTGGGATGGATCCGGGGTCGAGTTGAATTCCTGGACGGCTTGCTGTACTCTTTTCGTTCCGCTCTTCCATAAAGAATTCGCGGACTTGAAAAGATTGTTCCCGAATTCAGCGGCTAGTTGGGCGGGGTCCTTCTCTGCCGCCCTTCTACTATTGGGGCTTCTCTCCTCAAAACGCGCTTGATCCCGTACCTGTGTCGGTAGACTAGAGTCTCTAAGTTCGCCCGCCAACCGGTCACGCCGCCCGTTGGGAGCCCGTTCCGAACGCGACTGTGCCTGTGCGCTCTGACTTCTGCCTCTGGCCTTTTCTTGTGCCTCAGCATGGGCGGAATTAAGCAGCCAACCCACAGCTGCCTGGACATCAGTTCCCGATTCAGTGGTCGCTAGCGCTGTGCTGGCTTTTTCAATTAAAAATCCCATATCAACTAGCTCGGCAATAGCCCGATCCACAGGCGATATCCGAGCAGGCGAGCCGCTTTTGTCCTCCGCAAGGCGAACTTCACTTTGACGTTCCAATGTTGTAATCTCAGGAGTGGGTTTCGCAAACTCCGACACAGGCTTAGCAAGGGGGCCCAGTATATCATCATCATCCCCATCCACTGCATATGGCGAAGTAACCTTGGGTTGCGTCTGCCTTTGGCTCATCTCACCTAAACCAAACGGGTCATCATCCTCCATTACTACCGTATTTCTAGCTGGCAAATGTAAACCCGGATTGGGAGCGGGGGGCGCTATCGAGCTCGGGATTGGAAAATTAGTTGATCTGTCCACAGGCGCTGAAGCGTTGAATGCAGCTAGAATGTCGTCCTCGTCATCGTCCATGGCGCTTCTCCGATGGGGCAAGCCACTTCCAGCAAGGCCCTGGGAAAGGAGGTCGGGAGACGAAGATTGCGCGCTCCTGCCAGAGGTCAAACCGGATGTATGGCTCGAGACGCCGGATTTGCCTAAGTTATCCCAGAATTGCTCATTGTTTCCACCATATTGCGCATCAAACTGTGCGCGTCTCTGCTTCTCTTCCAATGCCTTCTGCTGGGCCAACTGCCGTTGCCGCTCCGCGAGAGAAACACCCTTGCCTGATGCGCCAGATCCAAAGGCAACGAGGTTGGCAAAACTGTCATTCGCCGGAGTGGGCGCTTTAGACGGCGGCATGGAGTGTATCGCGGGCGGAGAGCGAACCGTAGAGCGGGGATTGAGCAAACGGGGAATTAGAGGTATCAGCTGGAGTTTCTGGCAGTCCGTGTACTTTAGACCTGTGGTATCATCAATATCGGTTCGAATGGGGTGGCTGCGAGGCGAATTTGGCGTGATGTGCTGCTTTCGACAATTCACTGGTTGTAAGGGGTGCAATGGGACCAAGCGTTATGATGCATGGTTTCCTTGACAAATATCAGTACAAGGAGCAACAGTATGTACAGGAATCAATGAGTAGCAATAAAGAACAATGAAATCCAACCACGCATGCAATCACCAGCAGAGATTCAACTGTTTGTATTGTCCCATCGTCCAAGAGGCTTCATACGCATTATCAAACACGGCAAACAGCATTGGTCGGTTATGTAAGCAATATTCTTCGGAACTTTATAAATCCGCTATTAAGGACGCTGGATGGGCAAGTTGAGCAATATCTGAACAAGCATTCAAGGGACAAACAAGCGCAACATTAAGCTTGTAGAAACGGAAATCACTCTGTTTGCTACCCCAGAGGCATCATATTATCAGTCGCACGCTACATTGGCGATCAGTCGAGCGACAGGGGGATCATGGTCGCCATCAGACTCCTTGTACTCAAACCGCTCCCACCGATTTCCATAATCACCGAATCCTTTAGGTCTACACATGAGGATATGACTTGTATACAAAACAACCTCGCTCCTCTTCACAGCTTTGGAGAATACCTCCAGTAAACGGCTATCGACGGGTTCGTCGTCCGGGATGGGTAATCTCCCATGCCAAAACAGGAAAAATAGGCCATCACAACTTGACTTGCGGGTTTTAACAACTTCATCGTAGAGAGTCCGCATTCTAAGGCCATCACTGTAAGCGCGAGCGTGCTCGGGTCGCTTCTCGATCCCCTCGTCACCTGTCTGGACGGGCGGTCGATCAAATTCCAAGAGCTTCCAGGTCGTCGAGGACCCGTGAAGAAATTGGGTGTCTGTCAGCAGGCCTAGCGAACGGACTGGCGGTTGCGTGACGAGCATACGCCGCCAGCTTGATCCTTTACGAAAGAACGCATCGCGATTCTTAACCAGGGCCAATGAGTCAAACAAGTCGTCGGAATGGCCTTCGAATCCATTATTGTCACCGTCGAAAAAGAAGGGAAACTTCTCCTCCAAAAGCGGATTTACGGCGTAGTGCGTGTTGTCGGCAGACCTCACAGGCCTCAAGAATAGTGTCATCTGTAGGTTTGGAGAGTCGTTGATCAATGCGTGCCATTGTCGACACACCCGCTGTGCGGAGACAAGTAAGGTGCGTATCTCCACTTGGAGAAGCACAGACTCGAGGAGTTCCGCAGTGTTTATAACAGCCTCCATCGTTTGCCCTTGTCCTTTGTTCTGCTGATAGCAATAATGAACACAATCAGAAACACCCCGCTCTCCGGTTGTAGTTACGAGGATGAGTTAATGTTAGCGCAGGTAACTTACTTCTCTAAGGTTGGGGGCGTTGAGCTCGCTAGTTACCCATGCTTGAACACCTGGCCAAGCATTTGAGCTGCTTACTCAGCATGGTCTTATCTTATCTTTACCATGCAAGAACACTATATAAAATGCGTCGCGTTGACATAGCTCCCCATCTTCCTTAATTATCACACACATCATATCTTACTTATCTATGTCTGAAGTCTGGTAGGCCGTGAAAGCTGAAGAAGAGGGGGATTTTGTTGCCGATTTCAAAATTGTTGAAGAAGTCCATCACGTTGGTAAGCTCCTCTGTGGTTGGAGGTCGATGGTCCGGCAGCGGTGGTGGTGGAGGATTCGGAGGCGCTCTCCGATTAAGGGTGATGGCGGGGATGGCGTCATGTCGCTGGACGCTTGAGCTCGACGCAATTGGCATGATCGGACGCGAAACGGGAACTGCAAAGGCAATAGGGACCAAGCATATTTGAAGACCGAGCCACATTACTCATGCGCGGAAAAACTGGAGCACCTTTCATTGTGATGATTTAATGAACACCACTGTTGACACGAAGTGAAGTTGCAGATATATAGCGGGACAAATACAAGATTGTCGAAACGGTTGTGAAAACAGCACGGGGACCTCGCCGTGCTCCCTGTGAACATGTAGGATCGGAGGGGCGGAAGAGAGGTCAAGAAGTTGATAGAGCTTAGACCTTTATATTTATACCGTACAGTACATCCCCAGATCATCCCCTGCTATTTCTAACTTCAGTCTATCCATAACCTAGTCAGTACCCTAATTTACTGGTCATAGGAAGTTGTAACTCTACGAAGGATATGTGAGGGGGCGGGCGAAGTGTAGGCACAGGGAATCGTTTCATCTCACCCCTCTATTCAACTTACCTTTCAGCTCCTCGCGTGAGCTACCAGTTCATGTGTACATCACTTTGCCCACTAAGTGGGTGTATACTCGATTCCGCGCTTTTGTTGAGCTGAGAGAAAGAATCCCTGTACTTTCTTCCCCGCTAATGCGATGTATGCCTGCCTCACCTAGTATGCAAGCCAGGGGGGGCGAGAGTCTGATCACTTGAGGGTCTATAAGTCATGCTTGCGGTGCATAGAAGGCAACTTCCCAAAATATAGAACATGGTTCAAAGGGTAAGAGGTCTCCGAGTGAAGAAGTCCCAGCCATAAGGTTGACTAACTATCCTAACATCGGCCCGTCGAAACCTGGTAATAAATAGGAATGCTGCATAAATTGCGTCAGGTTTCACCTACTTTATTCCACATTGGTGTTTGAGCGGTTGCGGTGCACTCTACTCGCAATCACAGTTGCTTTATTGTCCAATGAAGTCTCCAGCAGCTCCGTTATCACAGAGCCTTGGCCATGGTTGAGGGCTTTGTCCACGGCCGAAACACCCTTGGAATCACATGAAAACCAGTCAGCCCCGTGTTCAAGGAATAGTCGAGCAGCATGACCATTGTTGTAGCGAATTGCAGCGTGAAAAGCGCTCTCTTCAAACGGGTCTCGAGAAAAGCAGTAGGCTGAGTTTGGGGGCTGAACATGGTTGACATCCGTGCCTGCCTCGACCAGAAGTTGAACACAACGACTTTTCCCAGAGCGAGCAGCATAATGAAGTGCTTCGACGCAAGCATCCATTGGGCTGTGTTTAGCTAAAATCGGGACGCATAATTCTCTTTCCAAGCGCACGGCTTGGAGGATGGGGAGAGAAGAAGGCTCGGGCTGGGAAGGATTTGCGCCGTTCGCTATCACGAACTTGAGAAGCTCGAGGTTGTTCTCTCGAATTGCAATGTTGACGGCATTGCCCATCGCAAACATTAAGGTCCAGTGAATGACATCGGGGTCGCGGGCTAGAAAGATTTTGTAGACGTCGAGGCCTGCCTCCAGAGCCAGCCGCACAATCTTACAATGATCTGTCGTCCACCAATCCGACCCCGGATTCTGATCCAGGAGAAACGACACAATGTGCGTATGGCGTGGAGGAATCGCCTCCTCGAGCAAACCCCGCAGGGTGCCTGGGCATTCCATTTTGTTTGCCTGCATGTCGAACAGCGCTTTCACCAAGTCCAGATCCCCGTTCGCACAGGCAAGTTTGATTTCTTCCATACCGGAAACAACGGCGTGAGTCGGACATGAAAGTAGGAGTGAATGACCTTTTCCCAAGGCTCGGAGCCTGCTTCTTTTCCACGGAGGTTTGGAGACAACGGTTCAGGTTACGAAGCATCTTATATGAGGACGGATGATCGTCCGGCAAGGGCACGGAACCGCCGCTGCACGTGATCCAGGGGCTGCCATCGGAGAGATGCCCGCTTTCGGAAATGTGAACGACGGCCTCCGCAACACGGTTGAAGCTGACGTCTTGAGCTCCAAACATCAACCCTGGGGACTGTGTCTGCACAGGCACCAGGATTTCTTTTTGAATGGCAGGAGAAGAGATTTGGCCAGACTGGTCGAATGCAGCCAGATGCCGCATCACGATACACAACTTGAAATTTTAGGAGGGCTTCCTCGGTTTTGCACAGTCGCATTCCTGCAATCCCATTCTGTGTGATGGTTCCCCATGAACTGAATTGGCAGAACGGAGTAGCCCTGGTGAAGTACTCTCTCAAGGATATTGGAGCTAAGCATGTATGTACATTCCAAATTGCGTGCTCTTAATTCGAAATATTGTTGAGCGTTTCCCTCCTGGAACCCATGGCGACCCAGCCCCCTTTAGAAACAGCTTAATGCAGACAGGGTTAACAACCGCTCCATGACTGTGACTATGCTCCAACATTTGCTACCGCAAAGGAAGCTTGTCTGTCCACGGGTGTACTTGCACCAGAAGCTATGGATCCTGTGCCGCCGCCCAAAACCCTATGGTTATTCTGCAGGGCTTCTTGATATTCTCCCCATGGCCCGGACACCTTTTTAAGGTGCGCCAATTAGCGGGCCCTGAACATCTCTCCAAATATATGAAGTTCTCAAGCTCGTATACCCTTTAGAATCACTGTTCTGTCAGTCGTCTGGGATCGGGGAAGCTGTTGGCCATACTGGCCCATTCGGATCTCTGAACCAACTGATTAAAACATGTTGGGCTATCTACAGTTTCTATCCTTCTGCTGGTGCTTGGACCAAGTGCTCCGCAATGTCTACTCCTTCGAGCACTGGAAGCCTAGTATTTAAAAGACATTGAACACGGCTCTGAGTGCGCTTCTGGCTCTAAACCCACCGGAGCTCAGTTATGTGATGCCATTATGGAAGTCTGAAATGTGATTGCACCTGAGTTTTTGACCGGTTTCGTGGACTTGATGAAACAGAGATGCTGGAAGGTCATTGCAATGATGAAGATTCAATTTCTTACTAGATTTTCTAGTAATTTCAATGGTGTTGAGAGTCTGTGCTTCAGAACATCACTATCCTTAATTTGATATCAGGTTGAAATAGAATTTATGAGTTGGTCAGAATCAAAAGTAGATTTACGAACAGAACTTCACCCTAGTAGGCAAACAAACCAAACCAAACTACGCTGCCAAGCCACGCCAAGGCGAGGTCCACATGGCCCCTGCTTCGGGAAGGCACGGCCCTGAGATTCGGATCGGGCAGGTTCGCTGCGTTGAGCCAATAACGACGCTGCAGTCTGGCTGGCAGAGAGACCACTGATGGGTTGAAAAGGGCTGTCTGAGAGCTGAGCGAGATTGTGGACTTGCCGAGGGATTGAGTACCTCACTGGTATGGAGCCAAAAGCATCCAACGCAGCCATGCGGAGCCGCCAGAAATTTTAGAGTCCCCATCCAGGACTGGCTCTGTATGGAAACGAAACGCCCGTTGCATCGCAAGTCGTCCTACGGTAAGCAGTTTGAGGAGCCTGCAATTCGGGGCATAGGCTCTCATTATTATTGCCTGATGCTGTGTCTCAGCAGCTGCACAGGGTAGGTCCCCACCAGTGCTGTATTTGGAAACCTGGAGGGAACGAATAATGGGTCTCTCGAAGCTGTTCTCAGCTCTATCTGGCGGAAACAAACTCCCGAATTGGACCCGTGGCTGCTGCGGTGACGTCTCGTTTTCCGGTTTGTTGGATTGGCGGCGCACGGAAAGAGAGCCGCAAGCTCGGTCGCAACAAACGATTCGTGGGAGTGGCCCGTGGGTAAGAGAGCCCCGTTCTGCCGCAGCATTATATTATTATTGGCCTAGGAATAATGATGCCAGGGAAGAAACGAGGTCAATCGACACGGCATCGCGTGGTTTGAATGCTTCGAAGCGCCCGTCAATCCTTCTTCTCCTGCTCCAGGCCAAACCCCATATTTTAAGCTCCAGCCACTGATTCCAGACCGGTGGTTGTGGGCTCTGCTCCATCTTTGGCGGCAGTCCTAGCCTCTTCCCCGGGCGTTCAGAGAGGCGTGTGGGTGTCTCAAGCGGGCCTGTGCGGAATAATGGAACTGCTCAAAGCACTACTCCTTGATATGACCTTGGTTAGCGAGAGGTGGATTGGAGAGGCACTCTTCCCCGGCAGTTATGCAGGGCGAACCAGTTCCCCGAAACAGGATGCCCGACGCGCTGGCTCCGCAGGCGGTTTTGCGATCACGTAAAAAAGGAAGCATACTCTGTGCTCTCAGGAGGATTCTAGCAGCAAGATGCAGTGAGCAACGGATGCTGCCAGCAGGAGCTTTTGACTGAACCGTGCCGTTCACTAAGGGCCGAACCTAAAGAGCGTACGGAAGCGATCAGCATAATCGTAAATTCGCATGGTCAAGCCCGCGTGGTCGATTCCAGGCTAATAAATAACAACAGCAAAGGGAGTCAGACAGTAAGTGATCTCGCACTTTTCACAGCAAAACCGTATTATTAAGGGTTCGTACCCTCGGCTGGCCCAGGCCGCAGGGGGCGTTGTCGAGACTGCTGCCGATGGCCCCCGGAGATGGCCTCTCTGGCCTGATGAGTCCTGGGGCTTAAGATCAAGTCCGGGACTGCGAAATCGCCCCGCCAACCTAAACTCATGCACCACCAACGCTGCTCTCTCTTTGCCCCCTGCTTCCTCTTCTTCTCTCATCTCTTCTCTTCTGTGAATCTTGTCATTCGTGTATCTCGCGATTCTTGCTCACAAGTCAGTTTGGTGAACGCTTTTCATCACTCAAGCGGCCGCAGTCACTGGCCTCGCCCCTTCTCAACCTCACGATGGGCCTCTTCAAGCGCAAGGACTCAAAGCAATCAGCGTCCGATAAGGATGAGCAAGACTCGTTGACCTCGACGAACAGTGCGAGGACGTCAAACGCGTCTCTGAAAATGCCACTGTCGCTCAAGTCCAGCGGCAGTCCTCCAATCCCTGAGATTCCCATTGCCCCTCCTCCTGACCCCAATATCGACCCTGCCGCCTATCTCAGAAGCATCCACTCCGTTCGCCAAAGGTCCAGGTTTATTATGCTCAAGGCGAAAATGAACCAATTGAACCATTTTGACGTGGACGTTGACAAGTTTGAGGCCACAGCGCAATACGTGGTGTCGATTATCAAAGTATGACTCTAGTATTCATCCTGTCGACATATCAGAATACTGACCCTTCGTGCACTCGGGTGTAGAGAGATTATGCGCCCGACTACCAGTCCATTCCCGCCCACGGTCGCTGGCAGCACTTTGAAGTCGGTGGCAGGCCCCGAATCAACCAACTGCTTCAGTCCTGGCCCAGCACAATTGATTCCCTCGAACGGACAAGGCGATTAATCGATTTGTTCCTAATCTCAGTCTTGCTCGATGCCGGAGCCGGGAATAAGTGGTCGTACAAGTCGAAAGAATCAGGGAAAATTTACAAGCGCAGCGAAGGGTTGGCTGTTGCGAGTTTGGAAATGTTTAAAACTGGGATGTTCAGCAGTGACCCCACCGAGCCTTGCCAGGTCGACGGTGCAGGTTTGAAGAGGGTTACTGTACAAGCACTAGCAAAGGGGATGCAGCACACGGAAGACAATCCGCTGGCTGGCATTGAAGGGCGTGCGGGACTGCTCACGAGGCTTTCGGGAGCCCTAGATAATCAGGAGTTTTTCGGAGTGGATGCCAGACCTGGTAACATGCTAGGTAAGTTTCCTCAATAACTGTTTTTCGGCCCCAACCCCTTCAGACTAACAGCTATCCCCAATGGTCTATAGACTACCTCCTCTCTCATCCCTCAACCCTAGCATCATCAGTTCCCATCATTCCAGTCCCCACACTCTGGAATGTCCTCATGGACGGACTTTCTCCAATCTGGCCACCATCGCGCACGCAGATAGATGGTGTGTCGATTGGAGATGCTTGGCCTTGCAAAGCCATGCCTCCGTCGCCACCTACCAAAGAATGGGAAACAATAGTCCCCTTCCACAAGCTAACGCAATGGCTCTGCTACTCCATTATGGTACCAATGTCAAAGATTCTGAACATCAGGTTTTCCGGCACCGAACTTTTGACAGGGCTTCCCGAGTACCGAAATGGAGGCCTTCTCATTGATATGGGCCTACTTACGCTGAAAGATGAAGACATGAAACGCGGCCTAGATGCTTACAAGACGAATGCAATGATAAAAGGCCAGCCTAATATGGAAGTGGTCCCTCTGTTCACGGCAGACGATGATGTAATAGTGGAGTGGCGCGCTCTGACAGTCGGGTTCCTTGATGAGTTACGGGATGAGGTGAATAAGTTGTTAGATTTGCCCGAGGGCCAACAGCTGAGTCTTCCGCAGATACTGGAAGCGGGAACCTGGAAGGTTAGTTCAATTCAATATCAATCATGTATGAATGTTGCTTACTTTTTCATAGGGAGGCCGTGAGATAGCAGAGGTGTCGAGGCCAAATACCAAACAACCTCCGATTATGATCGTCTCGGACGGGACAGTGTTTTAAATGTCGCTCTGGACGCTACTTCGTTTATTTTATATATATTTCTTTCGCCCCATTTCTAATGCCGTTTCAGTTCATGCTTTGATGAGATACCAACAACCCCCTATAATTGCTATTGTAAATCCTACTTGGTTTACCATTTCGAGATTTTCTTGCATGCGTGCTTCCTCCTTTTCTTTTTGTTTCCGGTGTTGGCATGAAATGGAATCTACCCTTCTCAGTCCCCGGGTCCTGCTTGCGTCAGGATATGCACGTATTCCACGGCCTGGGACACTTGTTGTAAGTACCTCAATTCACATTTGATACAGGTTGTCATGAAATGATCAATTCGCCTGTTGCTGAAACTCTGTAATAACTATTTGACCTGGATCAATACTCGTCGCCAACGGATATGGCCTTCAAATTGAATGGGTCTCCTCTTCTCCAATGGCTGAGCTACTTTGATATTCACATAGTGAATATCAGACTCACCAAATTTCTTGAATTCTCCTTAGGCACAGCCCAATGCGCCCTTCCACAGTCACAACCAATCCCGACCTATGGCAGCGCAAATTGCAAAATGTTTATCCGAAATTTTTTTGCCCTTGTGATCACTGTTAAGATGGCTCCCCGGCAGCGCTTTTACCAGGTATTGTAGTGTCCACCAAACTATGAGAACAAGACAGATAGCCCAGTTGACTGGTGATCAGCCACAACAATCTGAAGATACACCTTATCCACAAGTTTCATTTTGTGCCCAAACTCACTAAGCTAGACTCCAGGCACTCTCTCCATTATTATATACTCCACTCCTACAGATTTTGTTGCATGAGCATCCAGCAATACACCTTGGGAGAAACAAAATCACAACAGATAGGATCCTGAATTTCCAAGAAATGTTCTGCTGAAGGAACTAGTTGACTATCCAACCTGTCCAGCAGGAATTATTGTGCTCTCCTGCTCTGCAACAATCAATATTAGCTCAAAAAACATCAATGTTCACTGCTCTTAACTCCAACCGCAAGGCCATCCGATGCGCGAAAGCATTTTAGTGCAGAGTATATTCTGATCAAACGTGCCCAAGGAATTCAACGGAGACTCAGTCCCAATCAAGAGGCAGCTGCGATCAGAATGTTAGAAAGCTATCTAGGAGGTTGCAACTCAGAGAACAACAGACACTCTAGGTAACCTCGTCCACAGAGTTAAACGCCCTGTTTTCCCAGTTGGACGCGCCACCAAAGCGAGTTGATACAACAGTTAAAGCCTACCGAGGCGCCATAAAAGTTGCGGTGATAGGTGCGCTGTTGGACCAGAATACCGCCGAAATCGCCTTTGACAGTCGACGCTCTTGTTTTTTCAGCCGTAGAAACGAGTCCAGCTAGTTGATCCTTCTAAAGCTTATGAAGATATTTGAATAAACATTTCCCTCCTCATAAGGATTTTTTTTGCAGCGTAGGCTTCCATAGTTCGTCAGGTATGACATGTGTAACCTGGCTGTATCGAATACCGAATAAATTACAGACCGTTGCGTCGCGGGATAGAGTCGGCAAAGCAAAGTGTTCCTCCCCGCCAAATTCAAAGGCACGCCGTGATCTCGAACAAAACACAAGCAATTCCTGCAAAATCATCAAGTCAACCAGAAGTGTGGAATCATGGATACGAAGAAAAGGAAGAGGAAGGTCCTGCTCATGGGGAAGAGCGGATCCGGCAAGTCCTCCATGCGCTCCATCATCTTCAGCAACTATGTGGCCAAGGATGTGCGTCGTCTGGGTGCGACAATTGATGTTGAGCATAGCCATGTCAAATTCATTGGCAATTTAACTTTGAATCTTTGGGATTGCGGAGGGTATGTTTTGCCCCAGGAAGCACTGAACGCCGCCTCTCTCTCTGAGAGAGCGGCGAGATTGCTGTGCGCGGAACTAACTTGTTTCCCTTTCCTCTAGACAAGATGCGTTCATGGAAAGCTATGTTGGGTCACAGCGTCAGAACATTTTCACAGACGTCGCGGTCCTGGTGTATGTTTTTGATATTGAATCCCGCGAAGTGGAGCGCGACCTGGACACATACAATGCGATCATCGTTGCCCTGCAAGAATCCAGCCCCAGTGCCTTTGTCTTTTGCCTCATCCACAAACTGGACCTGATCCAGACCGAACACCGTCAACGAGTCTGCGAAGAACGCTCCGCCTTGATCCGCTCCCGCTCCGAGTCCTTTGAGATTGCGACGTTTGGAAGCAGCATCTGGGATCAATCGCTCTACAAGGCCTGGGCCGGGATCGTGCACAAGTTGATTCCCAACCTGTCGTTCATTGAGCGGTTTCTCAACGCGTTTGCGGAAAAGATTGATGCGGAGGAGATAGTTTTGTTTGAGAGGTCGACCTTCCTCAATATCACGTCCGTCACGTCGGATGTCGGGAATATAAACCCCATTTTCGACCGGCATGAGCGCCTTTCGAATATCATGAAAGCCTTCAAGCATTGCGCCGCGAGAAACACGCATACCACGCCTGGATCGGCCAACTTGGTTGTCATGCACACCAAAACACCGCAATTCAACGTGTTCCTGGGCAGGTTTACGGATAATACGTACATCTTCGTCGTGGTGCCGCCGGGTGAAGCTGCCTACAACTGTGCCGTACTGAACATCATGCTGGCGCGAGAAGGGTTTGCGAAAGCCGCGGCAGAGGGACAGGATGCATTTGCATTAGCGTACGGTGATCCGAACGGCGAAGGCGCTGCGGAGGGGTCTGCCGCCGGGCCTTTTCAAACATGATCGTTCACAAATAAGCGTGCATCTTGCTTCGACCACGTCTAGTCTGTATCTGCTTGTATGATGACGGTTTCTTTTCCCCCTTGATGGCAATGGCGTTTTTCCCCTGGCACGGTGGCTAGCAAGAATAGATACCCCATTCCTGATTGTCTCTGGTTACATGTTTTTTTTTTTTTTTTTTTTTTCATTTTTTCTTGCGAGGCGAGGCATGGGCGGTGGGCTTTAGTATTTAATATCATCCAGAAGATCAGGGGATATGGAAAGGTAGTCACGGATGGGATCTGGGCCTTTGTGATAACTGATAGACCCCAGACTTCATAGCGCAAGCTACTCAATACTTAATAATACAATGATCATTTGAAGACTCTAATGTTGCTTTCCTTCGTTGGGAACATCCGCGGCAGTTTCAGCCCTCTTCATGCAGATCCGGAACGGTTCAAAATTCAGCGGATCCTTTTTTTTTAGTAGTAAGGATATTCGAAATGGAAAGCTTGTGGATTCAATAGCCGACTCAACTTCCAAGTCAAGGCGATTTGCTCTGTGGGCAATCATACTGGGCAAGATGTCTGTGCTGTCAGACCCCAGGCTTGGTCATTTTTCGATGGCCATGGGTGTTTATTTCCTGGTCCATCTAGTATTGGATCTCAGTGCTCTCGGGGATCGTTCAAGGGGGGTTTTTCTTCCCTTGATAAAAAGTACATCGTTCAAAACGAAAACGAAGGTTCCTCCATCTCCGGGTTGGCAGGTCCACCGGCGACTCAATTATCAAAAAGTTACCATGGATCTTGGGATGGGTTTCAGAGGCTTACCCGTTTCAATTCGAGAATCGAAGGATTAAATTAGATCCTTCGGATTAATTACAGTGATATAGCGTGCTTGCTGGGGTTGGGAGCTCACGGAATCTTCGAATTTCGACGGGCTTTCGCTAGTTACCCTGGTCGGAGGTACACATGATCGTGTACTTGGCCGCTTCGTGTAGCTTTGATTGAATAATAATAATAATAATACGACGGAGGCGGAGAGTGAAGGGGGGAGTCTGCTCAACATGACAAAAATATGATTGCACGCAACAGTTTCTGCACTCCAGGTTTTGCTCAGCCTTGCTGCGATCTCTCCTTTGATGAGCGCCTGTTGATATTGAGGCTCTGCCCGCCGTTTCTCAATGGTTCTCACCGTTCAGCAGGACGGCGCTAGAATCTCAAAGAGGGAAGAAAGCACTTGGGTCGGCTTGGTCCGGCGGCAAGGCTCTGCTGTGGCAAGGACAGGAATGCAAGGCCGCTGGAGCAAGATGCTGTCGAGTTATTGGCTGTATTTTCCATTCCTTCTCATCCCTTGGTGGCTTGTCGAAACAAGGGCCCCCGCGATAGCGTTATTGGATGCGGCTGCCGAGTGAACCATGGGACGGGGAAAGCTGCACATTGGCATCGGCTTCGTGTGCATCCCTGCCAGGTATCTCATCGTGGGCCGAGTGTTATTTCCAAGGTAACCAACTGGCCGAGAGATCCCTTTGGGTTCCACGACAGACGGTGGCATGTAACGCGATTGCAGACGCCTCCTGCTCTCCACCTTTTTCTGAATTTCTCCTTGCGAAAAATCAAGTTCCTGAAGGGGGCCAGCAGCCAGAGGGGGCAAGCCAAGATCAGAGGTGCAAATGGGCGTTTTTCATTCTGGAAAAGTTCGATGGATTGCTTGGAGCGGAGAAGATTGCACCAAGAGGCAGATCACGGCCTTGGCTGAAGTATCACGCCTTGGCATCTGCTCGTTTTGCACGCATCCCACCAGAAAAATGCCTCCGTTCAGCGTCAGGATGTATTTATTATACATTAGTTATATCAAGATATGGTCCTGGCGATGGCTTTGGTTGATCTCTTCCGGGGGACTGGGTTAATTCTCCGAGTGTCAAGTGTCAAGCAGCGCGTTGGCTGTGAGCGACGGTGTCCTCAGATCAACTGCACTCCAACTCCTAGCTCCCAACTGCCGCCAAGTCGCGCAGCGTCGCATCTTTGATGGAGTTGGGTGGTCCAGCAGCACCCATGCGACCCCAGAAACGGGCTGGCCGGCAAGGATGCTTATGCTTTGTGAGAAGTGACGGGGTGCAGCTGCAGAGCTTGAACTTTCTCACCATCCATTGTCCAAGCAACCTCATCGCCGGTGGGAGGACCTCATCTGTTGCTCCAACACGCAGCCAGCCGAGGCGGCCACATCCCAGCCTGGCACCACGCGGAACATTATTTGCGGGCTGTTCGTTTCTTGTTGCTTTTTTTCCTTGGGCTTCTCCGCTGTGATCGTCGCTCCACGCAATGTGCTATTCTTGGCTGCCCCTTGGTACCAGAAACCTTCCGGTCAAGAGGTAACATTGATCGATGACGGTGACTTTTGTCGTGCTGCCGTGGTTCGCGAGCACAGCAAAACCACATGGGACTCGAGCCAGCCATGGTGGCCAGAGAGATGGTGGTGGAGCAGATACCGGTGCTCGCACCAAGCAACACGCAGAAACGGTACATACATGCCTGTATGCGCATCCAAGCACGCGATTGCCGGGATAATGGAAAGCCAAAGCCTATCGTCTCCCCGCTCGTATCTGGCCTGCCGTGCGTTTTCTCTCGATCTTGCAACGATGAGAATGTGACACGGCTGGGGAATGCCAGCCTTTCGCCGACCAGGGTCCGCCTATCCTTACTTTTTCTCGCCAGCATATCCCCCCTCTCCGTTACCTGGTTCTCGTCTTTTTTTCCCTTTTCCCTTTAAATCCCCCTCGGGATCTCTCATCTTCCCTTTTTCCCCCAGTTGGTGTCTTCCTTTTTTGGGTTCGTCCTTGAAGTCCTGTTTCTTTTCTTGTAACAAGGTAGTTTGATCTTGTTCAACTGCTTTGGGCTCCCGTTCGACTTCAGCCATGGAGCTCTGGGACAAGAAACCCGGGGACGACTCCGATGGCCCGACGACGACGAAGCAGGAGTATGTCGGGCAGGGTGGTCCGCATGTCATTGACTCCGACGAGGAGGGTGTTGCCCTTCATCGTGGCCTGAAGGCACGGCACATCACCATGATTGGTATGCAAAAGGAACTCGGTGGCTCGCGGTGCGTTGCTGACTCTGAACCAGCCATTGGTGGTGCAATTGGAACCGGTTTGATTATTGGTACGGGTAGTGCATTAGCAAAGTGAGTCCATTCCATCGCCTGTGATAATATACATTTTATACTAACGTCGAGATACTAGAGCTGGTGTAAGCTTTCACCGTCCTACGTTTGCTTATGAGGTTTAACCTTTCTAATGACTCGCTAGCCTGCCTCTGTTCTCATCTCTTATCTTATTGTCGGTTTTATCGTCTGGATTGTCATGTGTTCGCTGGGTGAAATGGCGGCATGGCTTCCTCTTCCTAGTGGCTTTACTGGTTACGCGGTGCGGTTCTGCGACCCATCTCTGGGATTCGCGCTTGGGTACTCGTATGCTTGTTCCCCCCTCTTCCACTTGCAGTGCGATATCTTACCGATCGCGCGAATCGCAGTTACTATTGCAAATACATTATCATTACGCCAAACCAATTGACCGCAGCTGCCCTCGTCATACAGTACTGGGTGAAACGCGAGAAAATAAACCCAGGTGTCTGGATCGCGATATTCCTGGTGGTCATTATCGGCATCAACTATTTCGGTATTCGCTTCTTTGGTGAATTCGAATTCTGGCTGTCATCTTTCAAAGTGGTCGTCATCGTTGGACTGATCTTGCTCTCCTTGATTCTCGCTCTGGGCGGTGGTCCGGATAAGGACCGCAAGGGGTTTCGATATTGGAAAGATCCGGGGGCGTTCAATACATATATCAAAGAAGGGAGCGAAGGACGTTTCTTGGCCTTCTGGTCGACAATGGTGACCGCCACCTTTGCTTTCCTTGGGACCGAGCTCGTCGGTGTCACCGTTGGAGAAGCCCAGAACCCTCGCAAGACCATCCCTCGTGCCATCAAGCTCACCTTTTACCGCATCCTCTTTTTCTACATCCTCAGCGTCTTCCTTCTCGGCATGCTCGTTCCCTATGACTCCCCTGAGCTCGCCTTCGCCGCGCAACAGTCCAACTCCGCAAACGCTTCCCCCTATGTTGTCGCCATCAAATTGGCTGCCATTCCTGTCCTCCCCGACATCCTCAACGGTTGTATTTTGGTCTTTGTCTTTTCCGCTTCAAACTCCGATCTTTACATTGCCACACGAACCATTTACGGCTTGGCCAGAGAAGGCAAGGCACCGCGCATCCTGGCTCGCACTGATCGCAGAGGTGTCCCCATCTACGCCCTGGCTCTTTCTAGCGCGTTTGCCCTCCTTGCATTCATGAACGTTTCCGACGACTCCAAGACCATCTTCGGCTACTTTGTCAACCTCGTCACCATTTTTGGTCTCCTCACCTGGATCTCCATCCTTGTCACCCACATCTACTTCGTCCGCGCCCGCAAGGCCCAAAATGTCCCCGAAACGTCGCTCGCCTTCAAAGCACCACTGGGCGTTGGTGGTTCCTACTTTGCATGCGCCTTCTGCATTCTCATCTCTCTCACCAAAAGCTACGATGTCTTTGTGCATAACCCAAAGAAATACGGTAACTTTGACTACAAGAACTTCATCACCGCATATCTCGGAATCCCGCTGTATCTCATCATGATTTTCGGTTACAAGCTTGTCACCAAGTGTAAGGGCGTGAAGCCCGAAGAGGCTGATCTCTGGACGGGCAAGGACGCTATCGACCGGGAGGAGCAGGAATTTTTGGCACGAAAGGAGGCTGAGCAGAGCGGCCTCAAGGATTCGAGTTGGTTCTATCGGACCTTTGTTTCCTGGTTGTTCTGAAGAGCTGAGGGCAACTACTTTCTTGCCCTTGCATGTCTGCCGTTTGGCAGGCTACGGTTATGTGTCTTTGTATATAAAGCGTCAAGTGCCTCATATAAACACTTGTTCTAATGACAAAAAATGTCAGAATTGCCTCGAACGACCCTTATTTCCAGCTTCATCGCTCATGTTGCCGCTTGGCTTGCTGGATGCCTTGCTCAGTATCAGAGGAAAATAGCCCTCAACCAAAACGCGCATGAGCAATGCAAATCGTATCTTTGCATAAAGTCCTCCCGATCACGGGTCATCTATCTAGAGTAAGCCCGTCGTCCCTCTCGTCCAAGAAGGGATAACAGCCTTATTGCGACCTTGGTGCCCTAAGCCTTGAGCCCTTTCGCCACCGCCAGTCTTATTGTCAATCCGACACGGGAGCTATTTCTAGCCCACCCGAACTCCGATTCTGCCTCGTCAACTCTGAAAGATCCTAGGGTCATCACGCGAGTTATGGTTACTCCAGAGGAGATGATGAATGCCTTGCGTTCCCCGGGCTGCGCCACAGCTGCATCAATCCCTTGCTCCCCACGCAAAACGGTTCGTTGAGATCCTCCAACTTCAAGCAACAAACGGGCATAATTGCTTTTTCTTCAAGCGAGAAATGAGGATTCCTCCCCCCGCCCCGGGCGCTAACTCGTCCAGGAACTGGCGCCGGGGAAGACCCGCATAAATAAAGCAGAGGGCGATGCCCCTCTATTTTGGCCAGGCAACGGCAGCATCATGATCTTTCTTTGAAGCCACCTTTGTGCGGTGATGGGCAATGCCATTGCTGATGGGCTGTGAAATATATGTCTGATTTGTTATTTGTATTCCTATTTATACCCCAGCATCAGTAATTGATGCCTGATTCCTGTCCATTACTGTGTTTACCCCAGACGCAAGCGCTAAGCAACGAGGTAACCTAGTGTGTTCCACAAACATCGGATTGATATCAGATGCGATTGAAGCTAACTTTCAGTCGCAGTTTGGTGCCTGATCAGGCCACAAATCCCCCCTTTGCCCATGGCGAGCCCTCACACTCCTCGAACAGCGCAGGGCTGCCACCGGATACTGCTCTCCCTAAGCATCAAATACAACTTGGACCTGCCAACAAGCGACAAGAAGGGTACTCCTGCTCAACGAGAACGGACTTTAAGCGAGAAATGTGTGGCTGGTCTGACATATCTCCATTTCAATGGACGCGCTGAGAAGGTCATTGGCCTGTTTGAAAGCCGGGCCACGCCGATGCTCTCAGAATGGATTCACAAACCAAACCAGGATCGGGGAACTTTGCCCTCAATTCCATCCGCGTCTTTTATCAATGGCAGTGTGTTTGAGAAGTCGAAGAATATTTCTTTTGACCAGCGCACGCAATTGCTCCGATGTCTGCACGAATTGATAGACAGTGAGATCCGATTTCTTAAAAAGAATACGGTCACGCCGGCAAAGGCAAAGGCAATTGTAAATGGAACACCGTCAGGAAGCCAGCTGAGGCAGTCGGGGCCTGCAAGGGCTACGACGCCGCCTCCTCCCAGGATCCGTTCGTCAGGCCATTCGCCCTCCAAACGAAAGTCGGCCCTTTACTCAAGCGAGGTATTTAAAACTGACTCCAGTGCCCCCATGCATGGCCCCTATCCCCTCCCGAGCCCTCCTTCCCTAGGGGATGAATTTGATGATGATGACTTGGATGGCCTCTTTCTACCATTGATCACAACTGATGTTCCCGTCGAAACCCAGTCCTCCTCCGCTCAGAAAGGAAAGCAGCAGAAGCTCGATAGGTATTTCAAACCCATCCGGTCGCCGCCTATGGGAAATGGCGATCCTGGCAGCTCGTTCGACAACAATGATCCGTTTTCAACCCCGTCAAGACCAGCAAGGCAAACAAACGTTGATCTGTTTATGAGGGTTTCTAAGCCAGCAGCCACACAGAACACGTCTCCGAATGCGGACAAAGTTGATCCGGTGGACACTTTTTCGACGGTAGCGACGAGAGGTTTAGAGCGCTCGTCGTTTATGGAGGGTACTAGCACCGTTGCTACATCGTTTCAAAGCAACGTGGGGAATTTGGGGCCTAAACCTGATGCAGGACGATATCAATTTGACGACGGGGCATCGGAGAGTTCAACAGTAGCGCTACTCCAAAGTGAAGAATTTCAAAAGCAACTCGCAATGGATTTACCACCAACACAAGTGGCAGATCCAATCGAGACGGAGGTGGAAGTATTCGTTAACAAGCTGGAGTCATTTGGCCCATTCACACTCTCCAAAGGCGGCAATTGGCCTAGTCATATACCCCTACGGTGCCGATACGAAGTCGCAAGAGTTGCCCAATCTCGGGGGGTTCTAATTCAAGATATCCTCCCAGATTATCAACTTCCTAGCCAGGATTATGCGGCATTCTGGGAGTTCATCACTCGAGCAACTACCCGTGGGAGAATCAGTTTACTTGAAAAAACCAAACCCACAGTCTGGGAAACAGCAGTCGGGAATTTCGAAGACGCGGGTAGCTCAGATATGGTAACTTTGACCGGGGAGCTTGACTGGTGCCACAAATCTGAACCTGGGTACCTGAAGTTTGCTTTGAAGCCTCTACGACTGGAAAGAGGCCATCGATTCGCTCGTCGATTCGGATCAGACCGTTTTATGGAGATCACGTTTCCTGCTTTAGTCAAATCCCCCGAATACCTCAAGAATAAGGGAACCGTTGTGCTGCAAAGTATCGCGACCTGGTTGGCCACACGCTCCCATTATATTTTGGGAAGAACATGGCGTGCGTTTTATCTCGAGGATGTAAAGTCCAAAAATAAAAAGGATGGCCCAAGGAGCAAAGTCCATTTGTTTGCTGTTGATGGAAGTGATTTCCTCAAGGCACCGTCAACTATCTCTCCTATCGGCGAGGTGTCTCACCGGCACACTCCGATGAGCGTGGAAGCGTTGGTTGACTGGCATATACCGTTCAAATACAATAAGCGGCAAAAAGACTGCAAGCTCTTCCAACGGTTATCATTAGCGCTGTCACGGACTATACCTACTGTGGTCGTCAGGCCGGGACGGATTGTACGGCGAAAAGACGCTGAGATTGTCATGAATGACGGATGCGCGCTGATGTCTGCTTCCCTGGCCAATGAGATCAAAAGCTGCTTGGGTCTTAAAGACGAGAATCCCTCTTGCTTTCAGGGCCGGATTGCCGGTGCCAAAGGGATTTGGATGGTTGACAATGCAGATTCAAATGGCGACTCCTGGATAGAGATCAGTGATTCCCAACTCAAAATCAAACCACACCCTTCCAAATGCAAAATTATGCTTGACGATTACCAGCTTACTTTTGAAGTTGTCTCATGGTCTAGGGAGCTTCGCCCAGTGAACCTCAATGTCCAACTTCTGATGGTCTTGCAGCACGGTGGAGTCCAGACGGACCGACTCAAAGAGCTTGTCCGGCGGGAATCAAGTGCCTGGTATGCGGATTTTAAGAACACCATCACGAATGAGATTGTGTCCCGTGGCTGGATCCAAAAGCAAGGCCTATACGACAGGCGGAAGACCAGAAGGATTGATGACTTTCCGACGGAGAATGCTGAACAGGCCATCTTGCTCCTGGATAGCGGGTTTCATCCGCTAAGGTTAGCTTATCTCAAAGAGCTTTTGACAACCTTCCTCAAAGACTATTGCAACCGCCTTGATAGTTTGAAAATTAGGATCCCCGAATCCACTTATGCCTATTGCATCGCGGACCCTTATGAGGTCCTGGCAGAGGATGAAGTGCATTTCGGGTTTTCAAAGCCATGGGAATCTTATGGGTATACTGATTTGGATGGTGTGGACGTCCTGCTTGGCCGGAATCCAGCTCATTTGCCCAATGACATCCAGAAGCGACGGGCTGTGTTTAAAAAGGAACTCCGCCACTTCAAAGATGTTATTGTCTTTCCCACTGTGGGCAAAGTGCCACTTGCCGGGATGCTTTCTGGAGGTGACTATGATGGTGACCAAGTGTGGGTTTGCTGGGACCCTGAGTTGGTGAATACTTTCATCAATACACCCTTTGAACCTGAAAAGGTTCCAGAACCCCATGAGTTTGGCCTCGTCAGTTGCTCCGAAAAGCTAAAGGAACCATTTGATTTTAATGAATTCCTAACAAAGGTCTTTGTTTTCAATGCAGCACCTTCTCTTCTGGGCCATTGCACCAATGAGCACGAGAAGCTATGCTATTATGAGAATGGGATTGCTTCACCAGGAGCAATCCAACTATCTCATCTGCTTGGCCATCTAGCTGACGTCCGGAAAACGGGCTATGAATTGAGACGTGAGACCTGGAAACAGCTATGGAAGCAAGTGAGCAGTGAACTTGGTCCTCATGGACTGAGAAAGCCGGCATACAAACAAACACAGGCTGAAGATGATGGTCGTTATAACATGTATAACATCATTGACTGTCTCAAGTTCGAGGTAGTCAGGGACGCAACCACCCAAATTTTGACAGACTTTGATCAATTTTCCAATAGCCAGGAACAGCCTTGTAAAGATCGTGATCTAACTGCCATTTGGGACGAAACGTGGTTGCGCGCGCTGTCTGAAAGGGACAATGGGAATAGTGCCCTACTAGAAGCGCTTGAAAAGCTCAAAGCGCAGGTTACACGGCTCTCCGAGGAACGACCGTACCGAAACTGCGGCAAGCCACTCTCCACCGTCATCTCGACGACCGCAGATCTTTTCCAGAGCATCAAGCCGCCCGAGTTCGATCATGAGCTGAGCCACACCTGGCGAAACTGGAATCCCACGTGGCAGATACTTGTGGCATCCCGCGTCTACTATTTCCGCTCTGAGAGTTACTTTCCCTGGTTTGCGGCCGGCCCGATACTCTGTGAGATCAAAGCCCGTGCGGTCGGGGCGTATCGGATGGTTACGATGCCTGTTTATGAGACCTTTCGGGTCAACCAGCGGGCTGCGAAGAGGGCGCAGGAGGCTTCGGAGAGTAGCCGTGAGGAGATTGAGAAGATGCTTGGGGATTCGAAGGAGCTTGAGGGGGATGATGGAGAAGATGATTTTGAAGATTGGAAGTCTTTTGTTTCTTGAACGAATACGGAGTACACTTTTTCTTTTTTTCTTTCCCCTTTTCGGATAGAGATGCAAAATTTCTGTGCTTGGACATTTACGATTTGGTTGCTCTCAAAAAGATTGTTGGATACCCTCTTGGACGCTCGTTGCCTGCCTTTGATATGAAAGGTCTTATGAATGCTACTACTTGTTACAATTTTAGATGGCTTTTGGGTCACCACAATGGCAACGGCTGGCTCCGTGTCTACGAGGTCCTCCGTTCATTGATGGAATCTAATGAATTTGCAGTATGACTTGCAAGACGTTTGAATTATTTATCACAGCCGTGAACCTGGATATCAAGGTAGCTCTTGGCCTAACTCTACTTTCACCGAATACTCCGGGAAAAGGCGAAATCCATGTCACCCGTTTTTCACTGAAAGTGAATCGAATAAGGGGTGAAGTGAGAGCTTCCCTTTGTCAAAGATCGAGCATATAAGTATGGGTTCAACCGTTATTGCAAATGTCAACATCTGGCTTGTCGGGACTCAGCTAGCTGCATTATCCTACATGTTCCATTCGCTAGAGAAGTGTTTGGAAATTCAGAGCCACAGCCATAGATCTCTTTGACTGTAAAAAGCGTGCAAATATACAACCAAATCAGCCAATGATGGATCGAGAAGCGTATAGCCGCAGAGATACGCCAAATGAAGCAGATTTGCCTGAGAAAGAAGTGTTAAAGGGGCAAGTCATTGTAAAGTTTGAGCTCAATGACAAAGAGAATCCTCACAACTGGTCCATGGTTTGGCAATCCTGATGATACCTCCTCTCGCTTGCATTCTAAGGCTAACGCATTAGTAGACATGGAGACTAATATATGCTGGCATAAGCATCCTTCTAACGTTGAACAGTACCCTTGGTTCAACCATGCCAGCTGGAGCAATCATGGTAATAGCTAAAAAGTTTGGCGTCACAAATCAATATGAATTGGTGCTCCCCATATCGGTCTTCCTTGTCGGGTATATCGTTGGCCCGCTATTTCTAGCACCACTATCAGAAATATACGGCAGGAGGCCTTTGCTGATGGGGACGTTTGTCCTATATTTATTCTTCGTCCTGGGAACAATTCTAGCACCGAATTTCCCAGCATTTTTGATACTCAGGTTTTTGGCAGGTACTGCCGCTGCCGCGCCAATGGCAATTGTGGGAGGGCTGTATGCAGATTGTTTTCCGGACCACGTGCAGAGAGGCAGAGTCATGGCAATGTGGTCCGCGGGGACAATGTTCGGCCCTACCTTATCGCCCATCATATCCGGATTCCTGGGAAGGGTTTCGTGGAAATGGCCATTTTGGTGCGAGTTATTGTTTGGAGTATTTAGCTTAGTGGCGCTCCATTTTTTGCCTGAAACGTTTGCCCCAGTCATATTAGCTAAACGGGCGGCACGGATGAGAAAAGAGTCGGGACGGAACGATATCGTTGCTCTGGATTCTGCCGAAACAGTGAATCTGAAGGAGGTATTGGCCGTAAGCCTTACCCGGCCCATAAAACTGCTTTTCACAGAGCGGATCGTGCCCGCGGTATGCTTGTACATGGCATTCATTTTCGCGATCCTCTACCTCTTCTTCCAGGCCTACCCTATTATCTTCCAAGGTGAGTCTCTTGTGCTCCAAACATTTAGCATTGCTCAAAAGCTAAGGATGTAGGCGAATATGGAATGTCGCCAGGGGTTGGGGGGTTGGCCTACTTGCCGGGTGAGTGCAGCGTCCTCTTACTCAGCCAATATACTCGCTAATAGGGTGGTGTTAGTGGCAATTGGTAGCATTATCTCGTCAGTGATGCTCGTTCTGTGGGACGAGTACATCAGGAGGCGAAACAAAACGGTGACCACGGAGCACCGCCGTTTGGTTCTGGCATGCGTCGGTGGGCCGCTCGTTGTAATTTCACTCTTTTGGCTGGTCAGCGCTCCCGTAGCCATCCCACGCCCCGTATGTTGACTAACAACACATGACACTTTAGGGCTGGACGAGCAGGAAGTCGGTGCATTGGATCGTGCCGATGCTCGCTGGACTTCCGTTTGGAATCGGCAGCACCACGACCATCCTGGCTCTGCTGAACTACATGGCGGACGGGTATGGAATTTATAGCGCATCCGCCATGGCTGCAGCGGCGTGCACCAGGTCGGTTTGCGTGCGTTGCTTCCACTCGGCGCGAAATCAATGTACGAGAAGGCTGGGATTGGCTGGGGGAGCAGTTGTTCTGGGACCATCAGTCTCCCCATGATGCTATCCCATTGTCTTCCTGAAGTATGGCGAGAGCCTAAGGGCCCAGAGCCCACTCTGTTCCGCGTTGGCTCGACAGAAAGCAGCCGAGGACAGCGATAGCAGCGGATAGCGGGCAAAGAAGATGAGGTCAAGTTGATAGAGAGTTGTGCCTTTTTAGAAGCGAGGTCGAGATTACCTAATCTAGATGATATATTACCATACAGTACCGTACCCTAGCGTAAAGAACAGCTGACAAATATATTCCACGTGACTGTCACATGAAGACGCTAGCGAGCACTAGCGCGGGTCACATGTTGTTTTCGTCCGATGTCTTGATAGAAGCGCCCCCAACAGAGGGCTGGCTAGCGAGTCGATATCTGCATCGCCACCACGGCCACGGCACGATTGAGGGCTGCGTGCCGATAGAAGACTCGTTGGGGTTCCTGCTGCTCGTCCCGCTTCATCTCAGGGAAATTGAATGGAGACGACATCCTCCCAGCTTAATCTCCCTGTATTAGTTAGGCAGGCTATCATCGGTTGAAACCTGCAATCTGGTTCTTGTCTTGGATCCATGTACGTATGCGAGCAAACCTCCTCAGTCTCTGCTTCAATTATGCCAGCCTTGATTAAGGGCATGGATGGCACAATGTTACATGCCACAACCGCCAGCATCCAACATTCTCTCCTGTCTGGTCTGGGGGCTCGACACTGGCGCCCGCTGATCCCGCCTTGTTATTAACTTTCATGTGCTAGCAGTGCCGCCGTCACCCAACACGACCCTCGTTGAGCACTCGTGTCCCATCTCGAACCCCATCGCTCTCGTCAAACCCTCCTAGACGCGAGTCATCGATGCCTGCTCAGATATAACTCTGCCTGAGACGCGGTATCGAACCCCAACCCTCCGCCATGTCAACGGCCAACTCCACTCGAATGGACGTTGACAGCATGTGCAACGATGATCGCTCCACTCGAGCTACAAGCGTTTTGTCAATGGATGATATCGAAGCCGCACAGGCACTAGAAGGCCTCCGATCAGGTAAGAACGCTCCCCTAAAAGCCGTCATGTTCAGCATCGAGGCATCCTGACTGTCTCCCATGAGAAGATTTCGCGCACTCTTCCCCGTCGTCGCGCCGCTCCACCCTGTTCTCATCCGAGCCACCGCAGCCAGAGCCGCTATTGTCGCTTCTTACCTCCTCCCACCCCTTGCTCTCCTCCGCTATCAACAGCTCAATGTCCGTCTACTCGTCATCCAAGTCATATTCGCCCAGATTCAGATACGGCGCTGAATTCATAGAGCGGAATATCGGGACCCCAGTTGCAAACACTGTTGGGAGCGTCGGGCGCAAAACCGGTGTCGAAGGAGGCTTGCGCTGGGTTCTGCAGCGACGAGATAACCCAGGTCCGGGCACCCGTGGTGCGCGCTCCGATGGCAGGGAACAACACTCTGATGCCATGGATATTGAGAAGGGCCCAACCGAGCCACGGCCCACTCATACAAGACGCTCCTCGGGTCTATCCAGCGTCGAGACGTTGCCGCCGTATGACACACTGTCGTCGCCCAACTATGAAGATTTGACGGCTCTAGATAGCAAAATCGATCTCACTCAGCCTTCTCAGAATCAGACCTGGCAGAGTCGCTTAGTAATTTCCACCTCCGGGTTAGGAGTCGCGATGAGCGAAGAATCGCTGCGCAGTTTGACATACTGTCTGAAGTGGTTGCAATGGGCGAACACGCGCCTTGGAAGTTCCATCGTAATTCTGAAACGGGTTCTCGAAGAATGGGACGAGTCACGGCAGCAAGAATCGTCGGGCGATATCCTGGACCCGGAAAATAGGCCAAGGAGCCCAACCGCCATGTCGCGACAGATCCAGCAGGTCAAACAGGACGTCCTTCAGACTCTCAAACAGGTGGTCGACGTGGTATCGAGATACGCAGGCGGCTCGCTACCTGAAAACGCGCGCAATCTTGTTCGTCGGCATCTGACCTCGCTGCCACAGAGGTTTCGACTTGCTTCATCCTACACCAACAGACAGGACGATGCGTCCGATTCTCAGTCAGACGCCACCTCCACCAGCGCCCACCGTGTTCTAGTCCTTGCTGAGGAGGGTTTGGATATGATGGCGCAAGTCAGCAGAGTTGTAAACGACACACTCGTAAGCGCCGAGAGTTGGTGCGAGAGGCTGCGAAGGCCGAAGCCAGCAGTCAACTCAACAGGTGCTCAAGACTCAGAGTCGCCGGCTTTGAGCAACCTAGACGTCAAGCAACCTTTCGTTGATGCGACACAGCCTCGTGACGTGGAAATGACAGGCATGGAACAGGCTTGATTACTTGTGGTACTGGCTATGCCCGCCTGAAAGTCGGTATCCTAACCGGTGAGACAAACGGCTCTACGCCGTAGCAACCGGATTGCGACACCGATGCTGCGCCAAATCCATCCTCCCACTGCCGGCCCCCCTGTACGCAGGCATCATCATCACACTGTACAACTTCGATATATACCCAGCTTTCACTTCACCATCCGGTATCTTTTCGGCATTTGCCCCTGGAGTGGCTCCAAAGTGCTATCTATATTTTCTTATCTTCGCTTCTATCTTTCCCAGAGAAAAGAAAATGCCTGGTCATATCTCCATTCCAGCTCTTGTTCCCAAACAACTTCTCTGACATCCTGCCGCTCTTCATTGGGGACTCTGTACTTACTGCTACTTGGTTACTTTACTTTCCGCATCTCCTAGATTTGGCTATGCGACAGAAAAGAAAATTGTGCCCTATTTCCTTCAACCTGTGGATTACTAACTCACTAGCTTTTTGATCATTTTTCCTTTTAGCTGATCGTGGATTGACTAGCTATATGTTTGTGAATCTGATTCGTTATACATTTTGGTGCTGGTTCGATGACTCGAGTATCCATGATCTCCGTCCAGGTCCGCCCTCGTAAACCAGCTGAGAGAGGAAGCCAAGTGGCAGCTCAAAATGGACCTACCTCACTTTATAAAGGATACGGCAATTAATATTATGGCAATAATTTTCTTGTTATTTTATTGAAACACGCTGCGTATTCAATTAATCTAGCAAGCTTCTTACTATCATCCCGGCTGCCTGGACGGTCCATCTTCTTTGCTGCACTCTATGAAACCGCTCGTTGTTCCCCAATCCTCGTCCCTGGGCAACAAGCGCAACCGTAGGGATATTTTCGGCTTCTCGTTTTCCACGTTCCCTAACCTTTTTCTCCGCAACCTTTCAAGACTCCGCTGGAGTCGATCTTCCCCTTCTTTTGACTCCTGATCGTCTCCCCTCTCCCGTTTCCGCGAGAACAGCTGCCTGCGTTCCTCCACCCGCTCTCTCATAATGTTTTTCCATCGCTCCCTCACTTCATTCAGCCGCGTGGCTCGATCGGCCGCCCTGCTGCGCCATGCCTCTACTCGACGATCTATTGCATGGTCGTTGAACGGCCATCCGCACCTCTTGTCAACCTCGTCGTTGGCGATGTTGGGCTGCTCATGTGGAATATGAGCGTCTAGCTTGCTTACCCACTTCCAATACTGCCGCACCTCATCCTCGTCTCTGCACACCTGTAAGAAGGAGCGTCGAGCCTGTTGATGCTCATGCAGATGCCGGTGGAATGTGTACAGGGCAAAGGGATCGCGTCCTCGCCAAGCAGCTTTGAACATCGCCCTTTGGTCTTCTGTTGCTACTTCCATGTAGCCTCTCTCCTGCCGTGGCGACCTCTGGCGGGGAGACAAAATGATAGATTTGTCATTCATCTCAGCTGGCGAAAGGGTGTAGGCGGGGTCCCTTTGGGGATTGTAAACCCCGGTAGCAAGGTCGGTTCGCATCATGGATGGGTCAAGGCTTTCCACAAGTCCACAGGTTGTACCGCAGGCCAGGGTTTCATCAATCACAGCTCTCTGCGGGATATCTTAGCGTGGCTCCCGGAAGAGAAAATAGGAGAAGAGCGAAATGTACGGCTTGGACGAACCTGCTCCTCTATTCGTTGCTTTTGCCAATGGCTTTGAACCCTTTCTTCTTCAGTCTCGTTGGGTGTTTCGGAGCTCGCCATTGTGAGAGCATGCGCAGAAGATAGGACGGTCCGTATCTCCGTGTGCTGCCGTATTTCGCGATACTGTCTCTAGCCACAGAGATAGGCACGCTCTCCGGTGATTTGTTCGGGTCGCGACGTCCGTTGACTTGCAGGCTGGCCGGTCCGTCTTGCTGCAGTTCTGGTCGTGGTGCGAAAAGCGCTAAAAGCATGGATGTTGGAGGCCTGAGTGTCAGTCATGGATTTTATACATGACAGTGAACTGCGATGACGGAAAAGAGCATAGCTTTTGTTTGCTGTAGATTAAACATGGCCTTGCTTCCGAAACAATGGATCGCTTCCTTTGCTTGAGCACAGCTAAGATCATAAACAAGGGATCATAATGCAAAAACAAGAAAAGGGATCCTAAATGGAACAGGATAGCCCAGGGAGTGTTAAGACCTTCTAGCATGTCTAACTGCACATGGTGAGCAGTAGATCACTCCAACTCATAATCCCAGGTTCACATAAAATGACCAGAGATGATGATAGAAGTCGACATTGTGATTAAGCCGATCTAGCTCAAGCTTCTACCCTCCATCGGAGTGTTTCTAAGAGATGACTCGAGGAGGCTCAATGAGAGAATGAAGCAATCGACCAAACAAAGATATTGCATGTTTGGCGACAATAAGGACGGACGACAAAGACCAGGCCAGTCAAGTAAAAAGAGTGTGATTAAATAGTCTTGAAACAAAAACGTTTCTGCTTCAAGCTGTTGATTAGCCAGTCCAAACGATGGTCTTGCCTGGGCGCCATGTTCATACGGCTTTTCGTTGTATCGAATGCCAACTCTGTAGATTGGAGAATTTGAAATCCACTCTGGACTCTTTGCATATGAAAGACATTTCAGCGATCAACGGATGTGTTTGTATATATGCACTATCAAGCCATGTTAGCAAACTGTCTGATGGCCACGACCTACTCAGCAGTGTGGATCGGGTGCCTTCTCCAATGCAGTTCTGGCCTGAGAGTTTGTCGCCGTTATTTATGATGATGATTCGAGATATCACTTTCCAGAAAAAAGGGAGCAAGGCAAAAGAGATATTATCTTGTCAAAGTGATTGTGTGCAGAATTGATTCATGTGTGATGCTGTGAGGTTGACCAGGCTGCATAAAAATGGCTTTTTGCATGGTTGCACAGAGCTCCTGAGCGCCTCCCATCAGCAGGGCTGCTTGTTAACAATGGCATTCAACGTGGGCAAGAAATAATTGTCCTCCAATCTGATACTTCTGAATAGTCATTCTTATTCTCCATGTCTGCTTCTTGAGGATTTTTCCTCCTTCGTCATCCACGACCACACAGAGCATGCTGCTACCTTGCCAGCTGCAAATACCAGCCATTCCCCAGCTCTCGTCCGCTATGTGAAATCGATGCCCTACTCATTGCACTCAAACATTCCACGATCAATGGGACTCGCCTCTCCAAACAATTCGATCTCGCACGACGGCTTCGATGAACAAGCAACCAAAGCAACCACTGTCCTGCCACCGGCTCTTCTCGCGGATCTAATCCCGGCGCTGGTAGTGCTCATTTACGCGCTTGGAATCACCTGCTGGTTTCGCGGTGTGATTTGGTCTTGCTTCCGCAAACCGATCTTCCAACGATGGACAAGGAGGACGGCAGATGGGTGGAAGGGGGACTATATGAACGTTGCCAAAGAGGACGACGATGAGGAAGTCGTCGATTTACAACGTCTGCCATCGATGATGCAACATCGGCGTGATGAGGAATTAATAGTTGGACCATCGGCCGTGAATGTAGTATCGCTCGTGTCGAAAAAGATAAAGAAACGACCTGAACGTCTGAATATACGCGGATATACACCCTTGTCGTCGTTTTCAGAGGACTGTGAAGGTGGTGAAGAGGCTAGTTTGGAAATCGATACTCGAGCTGCATCTATAGACCCAAGCTTGGAATGCCAGCAGCAAGAGCCTCAAAATTGGTTGGGATTATCCAAGTACTTTGATAACAACACAGGACAGCTGCAGAAACATATTTTACTCGACCCTGGAACCGAGTTGAGTGAAATGAGAGTAAAAGAAGAGGATGGGATGTTTGAGTATGATGGAGGCTTTGGTGATAATATTTTAGGAAGATGGTGTGATCGGGCTATCCGTTGGGCTATTGCGAGGGCTCAGCCATGGTTGGAGCCAGCGGGCTAGAAGTATAATGCGATAGATGTATTTCTTGGCCCATATTTGGGATGCATTCACTTGATGAACTGGAAGGAGCCTTTTTGGCAATTTTGGGAGAATCCGGCTAGCATACAGATAGTCTCATAAAACCAAAAACAATCATCTTCCTCCAGGGTATGTTCTCTAGCCCTGCTAGGAATTCAAGAGGGATAATCTATTTGCCCAGCCAATTTCTTGGTATGTATATACCGTGCCCAAAGTGACATTGCGAAAGCCCGAAAACCATTCGGAAAGGTCAACTACTGCGAAGTGTATCCTCCATCGATAATGATATCCGTACCAGTAGCGTAGCTGGAAGCATCAGATGCCAAGAATATGTATGCACCCGCCAATTCGTGCGCCTGCCCTTGACGGCCCATTGGGATTTTTCCATTCAACAATGTAATCGTTTCTTGGGATAGAAACTCGGTTAGTTCCGTGCTGATATACCCAGGAGAAACGCTGTTGGCACGAGCAAATTGGACCCATTCCAATGCCAACGATTTGCCTAGAAAGTATAAGCATTACGATTGTCAAGAAGTAGTAGTAGTAAGGTGCGAGAAAACTGACAGAGATGAATGACCCCCGCCTTTGCGGCGTTGTACGCTGACTGTAATTGTGGTACGTTGACAATGTGCCCACTCATTGATCCGGTTGCAATAAAGCTGCCGTACGAGAAATTTTCCAACCTGTTTCCATTGATGTCTGTGCCTTCTTGCTTTTGTCGGCGCCAAACAGGAGCCACCGCCCGGGCGGCGTAGTACACCCCGTCAAGATCCGTGCTGATCACCTTGCGGTAGTGGTCGAGTGTACCCTCAGTCATAGCGCCTTGTTTCCAGGGGATGCCCGAGTTGGCAACAAAAATATCAAGGCGGCCATTGAATTCCTTGACGACACCCTGGACGGCGTTTTCGACCTCTTGGGGCTCCTGAACGTTGACTTGATATGCCCTAGCTGTTTCCAACGGGAGAAGAGAGCCATCCATCAGTCCACTCTGCAAGTGATTTCCAGTGCAACTGCACATTCCTCACCTTTAACCCCGTATTGCTTCTCAATCTCTTTAGCCCGGTCATGGGCTGTTTTATTGCTGTGATACCACAAGGCCACATTGGCACCAGCTTCTGCGTACGCCTGGGCGACAATAAGCCCAATACCTGCCGCCGCACCAGCGATGATGGCCGTTTTCCCCTTGAGCGAGAAAAGCGCCATGTATCCACGTTCTGCCGGCGGAGGTTGGGTGTTTTGCTGCGACCATGACGCCCCGTTGCTGGAGAGGGCGGTATCCATTCTGATTGATCGAGTATCCTGATTTATCGTCCAAATAATAGCAATCTGCCCGCAATAAAGAAGATGCTATGGTCAAGTCAATGGGCTGGGAATCACAATGTCTGTGTCCAACCCTTGCACCGTTCAATGCAGGGATATATATCTCAATGAGGGGCAGAAGTTGTTGCAGCGGGTTCTGTTTCTTAGCGCCGTTCTCCATACATTTCCAAAGAGACGCCCGTGGAGATGTTGGGAATTGCTCCGCTGCCACTGAAGAGCACCAGCTGGGTTGCTATCCACAACGCCAGTCAATTGAAAGCAGCAGTTGCCCGCCAGACTGGGGATCGCGGGTGGAGAGCGTGCTGACTGAGCAGCGGATGATGTCATCGTGGGTCGGGGGTGCCTGAACACGAGGCTAGCTATATTGAGTTTAGTCTAAGATGAATCTGATTGGATGGATAAAAAGGCCAAGATTGTTTGCATCTTTTATTCTGTTTGTCCTGTTTGCCTGACAGACAACACTTCTCGACTGCGCGTTTGTCTTCAGGAACGACAGGCACAGTGGTCAACTAATACAAATCAAAGGATCTCACAGGAAGTCGACAAAAGCCCATATGGGTTATATTTCATAAAACATCAGCCTTTTATTAAGTATTAACAGCCAGGTTGCCATCTGACAGGTATGTACACTTTTAGACATCAGATGCGGCAAGAAGCGAAAATTATTTATAAAAAGGGTGCTAGCACCATAGTTTTATCCAACCAAGCGTTCACCAATAGGCTTGCCTAGAATAGCGAGGAGGGTTCGGATGACCGACAAGGACATCACCCTAAGAGCACCAGGTTCCAGCAATCCAGTCAATTGGGTTTCCTTGAAGCATCCCTTCTTGACAGGAACGCCCCGCATCCGCTCATCCAGCCAGATCAAGGCCTGGGGTGCTCCAGTAATGGTGCCACTTGCGTGGTCGGCGGTAAGGTCCGTGCGGAACTCGACGTTGGCTCCAGCAGCGCAATAGGTATCATAGACCGCAGCGGTCAAGTTGTGGGCGCTGATAACATCGTTCGCCGCTTTGTAGATGAAAATCGGGGTTTTGGGAGTGTTCTGGCCCATGGAGTTGTAGGCTAGAATCTCATTGACATATGGGAGCATAAGAACTTCGGGATCCTTAAAGTACGAATACATATCTTCGAAAGCATAATCGAGCATATTCGCGCCGAAACACTGCTTGCGGGCCTTGAGGAACTTTTCTCGCTTCTCGGGCTTGATCTGACTGTTGATGATGGATTCGATAACAGGATATTCGGACCCAAGCCCAAGGATACCTCCAGGGACCAAGCCAGTGAAGAGAGACTTGTTGATGGAGGGGATGACGGGTTCGATCCGAGGAACTGTGCCACCCAGGGCAGCTCCAGCGATGTTCAGCTCAGGAGCATATTTCGGCTGCAACTCCGCGGCAAAACCACTGGCCAAGCTTCCTCCAGAGTAACCCCACATAGTGACACGGGCCTTCTTGTTGACGCCAGTGAGTTCGGATGACGCCAAAGTTGCACGGATGCCGTCGAGGACCGCATGACCTGCACGAACGTTTGCTAAGAAGGCCCCCTTAGGGCCTTGAAAATCGGGGACAGTGACAACCCATCCCTTTTCGAGTGCGGCGAAAATGAGGACCAGCTCAATCTGAGTAACGATGGTGCCTAGAGGGCCCCCGCTAGCGGCTGCCAGCTGAAAGGCATACGACGGAGCACAGTTGATAGATGCGGCGTCTTCGGCGACCTGATAGGAGAGACCTTGTTCAGATCGGCTCTGTGGGGGATAAGAACCGTTGAGACCGTTGCCGTGGGCTTGCCGAAGTTGTCGTTCGATCTGTATAGGAGTTGGTAGGCGCCGTCCAGATTAACGCGGAAAGCGTTGAAAGCGGCAATAGGGTTGGGAACTTTGCGAGATCGGAGGACTGTGCCCGGTGCTGCATTCTCATATCCCTCCGGGGGGACATAGAAGGGGTCGTTCTCTGGCAGAACAGCCTTACCACGGGCCTCGAGTGGCGGTGGAATGGCTTGTACAACCAGTGCACACAGATAAAGGACGGCAAGCCACGCTGCACGGAAGGCCATCTTGAAAGAAAAGAGTCAAGGAGCGGTTTGGGAACTGTTCAGGTTCTCACCGGCCTGCTGCTCATGCCCATCTTGAAGGGATTAACCCACATCTTATATAGCAAAGGCTCGAGCATCTGGCGATCTCATAAAATGGACAGTGCACTCACTGGGTCCGATGGATGAGAAGGAATTAGCACCTTCTGCCCCGCCATCACATTGTGTCGATCCTCCAGTAAACGCCCTTTGCTCCTAGTTGAAGAGCTTGAAGGAATCCAGAGCCGAGGCGGATCATTGGTTTTGTGTGAAATTCTTGTGACAGGTGAAGAACGGGGACGTTCCAGCCTATCAGCCGCCGCAATGGCCAGAAGTTCTTGCCCAGACACTATATATCTCTGCATGGGGGACTGCAACCTGCGGATAAGTTGCAGCACAGTGCCTGTTCGATCTCGAGCGAAAAGATTCGCGTCTTGCCAGAACTTGCTCTCATCATTCAGGTGTCGAAAAGACACAAAAAGCATGTGAAGAGCCGAAGACTTGCCATTTTTTTTTGGCTGTTTCAATTCCTCTCTCATTATTTGTGGAAGACGGTCGTCAGGGGATGCCCGCCCCTTGTTCCTGAGGATTTCTGGGGTCCGGGGTCTCCGCATCGAGTGTCTTAGCGCCAATGCCAAACCCCAGAACTTTGGTGGACGGACCAGTGGGAATGCATCGCAACCCAAACAACAGGCGCAAAAGTCAGAAGATCAGTTGTGATTTGTGTGATTGGGTTTCACTCGGAAAAGAAGGGCTTCGGGACCCAGATTTTGAAGTTGTCTGGTTGGGACAAAACAACGGATTTACAACCCGGCCTAAGTAGAAAAACATTGCCAGATCTCGAGGAACAGCTGATTTGATCAGTATGAACAGTAGGAACTCGGGAGACTGGGAGGCCTGCATTGAAAGCGTATGGTGCCGCTGCTTCTTCTCGCACTCGAAGATTCATGGACTAAATCCATCGGGCGTCAGGGGACCGTGGATTCGAGCAAGGACTAAACCCACAGCAAGAGAATTGCAGGGATATAATGGAGAGAATAAGGGCGAACCCTCTTGAAATTCTCTTTTGAGCTGTCGGATTCTGGCGATCCATGTCCGGATGATATCAAATGACCAGTCCCGTTCTGCAAAATCACACCTTGGGGGAGAAAAAGTGAACAACACGATCCGGTTGGGCTTCTCTGTTGAATAGTTAGTTAGTCAACCTGAGGCAATCACGGAGGGCTAGCAAAGCTTGTCTTCTGAATGCTTGTGATTGAACTTTTAGCCGCCATGCTGGTAAACGTCAGCGAGTTTGTGAGGAGTGAACTCGGAAAAAAGCAGATTGGTTATGACCCTCATTACCGCGCTGACTGATTTCTTCGCGCCACATACTTTGTATAAGAAGATCTCCCTTTTTCCCTTTGAACCTCGCACTATTACCATGAAGCTTTTATCAGGCGGGGTCGGCCTCCAGGAAGCCGGGTCATTCTCGGGCTTTCGGCAGATACCTTTGGTTTCTTAAGGGAGACGCTCGAGCTAGGAAGCCGATTGTGGACAGGGATGGGCTCTGCAGATAGAACCATCGGTATTCTAGCACATGTTAACCCGCAGAATCATGGTGGAGGCGCGGATGCGGGGAAGTCCCAGAGCACCGACGACGATGGTGATGAGCGAGCCGAAGTCAGTGTGTGGGAGACACTACGATCAACGGGTGCTTCCACGGCGCAGAGCCGAAGATCATGTCTCTCGAATAAGCAAGGATGAAGGAACTCTTTGCGCTTAACAGAAGTGATCTGCTTGATTGAGAATATGACTCCCTGTATTGGCTTGGATCGTGTGCTGCTTGACCTTTTTGGTGGCTTTGAAACAAAGGAATCAAATGCCGATGAGATGTCAGCAATCAGACCGCTATCTTAGCATGAATTCCTTCGCATGGGCGCTCTATCTATTATTTTAATCATGGCCGTCACAGCAGGAATTCCACCCGAACCCCGAAGGACTTGGATGGCATGGTCAAGCCTGGTTGAGGATATGGTATCCACGAACCCGTTTCTCCCTTGATTGACAAGCAGTCTTCCAGGGCAGCAAGATGAACTGATCCAGTCAATCCTTTTTTGAGTAACGGGGAATTTGGGAAAGCTCCCACCAGGCAAACTCGGCAACGGCAGCCAGGTCAATTCAGGCGCACCTATCCATATCACTTCTCAATTAACACTATCACTGGACTGTACGTATCTGCGCTCCCAAGAATGAAACGTTTGAACGTACACAACATCGCCAAAGGACAAGTTTTCCCAACCCCAAAAACTTTTTCTAGATTCCGAAACCAGCGAGTTGGTCCTGAAATGCCGTTCATCCAGTTCTCTGCCATTTCGTTTCTTCCGCTCCGGCACCGCTACCGTCTTCTCCCGCTTGGTTCCCCTCGTCATCTTCCTCCCGCGGCCGGACTGAGCCAGCGCCAGGCCCTAGGGGTCCTCGTCCCTCACCAATCCAATTACCCTCCTCATCAAAGAACTCGTGCATATTTTCCGCCGTAATCCACCCTCCGCTTCCGGGCATCGCGGGAGGAAGGCCGCCCGCATTGTTACCGGGAATCACCAGTCCACTCTGGAACAACGCACTATCAGCCAACGGCTGACCGCCCAGGTCGTCTTCTTCGTCGGCCGGGTCCGGATGCAGATTAGAACAGGCAGATAGGGCAGCATAGAGAAGCTCCGTAGGGGTTTGTGAAGGTTTGTCGTCTGTAAGCAAAGACTCGTTTTCTCCCTCGCTTTGTGCCTGCGTAGTCGCTGGCTGCGGCGCGGGGGGTACGACGGTTAGCGAGACGGCGTCTTCCTCCAGATCCTCTTCTGCATCGACCCCAATTGACAGCTGCATGTATAGTCCTTGGACATCGTTACGTTCTTGCGAGTCTGGTAATCTGAGGCGCTGAATCGCGTGGAGCGAAATGGTACGGTATGGGATGGCGACACCTGTCGTTGTAGACGGATTGTACAGCAGTAGTTTTCTGTAAAAAAAGGAAAGTAATGAGTTAGCTAAACGTATTTCTTTCCAATGGCAGTGTCAGAAATGCTTCGTACTCGGACGTAACCCAAACATCCACGCCATCAATCACAATCTCCTTGTCTTGGTCACTAGAGCCTTCAGAAGGTTGAGCGCCATTCGTTGCCTCTTGACTAACACCTGGCCTTAGGCCGCTTAATGCGGAAACAGATGCCAATTCCCCCTCGAGAATCACGATCTTGCATCTTTCGCTGAGGTGGTGCAGGATCGGAGGGCCAGAATAAAAGGATTCAGGCGTGTGGGACTGATGTTCAGCGAGCGAGATGAAAGATGAGGGGTTCGGAGGGCCATGAAGGGCCTCCATTTTGATCCTGAAGGACGTGGGTCAGAGACGCCGCGGTTCTTTAATCCGTGAGGTGCTTTTAACTTGTATTTCCCGCTTCGGCTGAGAAACAATGACGGGGTGGTGAGTAGACTGTAGTGATCACTGATGGAGCTGGTCGGGCATTGTCCTTGGAGGTGAGTGACGTTAGCTCAATTAACTACGCCGGCACAATTGGTGATAAAAAGAGAACTCCTTTATTTAGAATCATCGGTGAATCATCAGGTTAATGTATTTCATCTACATAAAAATAATACGCATTATTTGGATAAGGCACTTCAAATACCAATGGGGCCTGCAGCTTTAGTCGCCACAATAGCACCCGAGCGAGACCAAGAGCCCTATTGTCAAGCATCCACGACTTAGCAGTATAAGTGTGTGCATTATTCCTGGCGTAATGTCATACTTGATGATATTCGCCAGCGATTGCGCCTGATAAATTTGCGACCAGTCACCAGACCGGCGAATGCAAAAGTAGGAGGACGGCGTCCGGCTCAGGGCCTGATTCTCTGGCATAGAGAGCCTTTCCTTAGCATAGAGTTGTAAGCTATTGACAGCTATTCAAGCTTCACAGTTGTCCATCGAGCGAGTGAGTAACAACGAATAGTCCGGTTGGGTTAAGGGTTCAACCGCAGTGAAAGCGCCCCGAATGCACGGTCGAGCTCTTCTCCCTCATTCTTTGGTATCATAGGGGATGTGGTAACCCTCCTACTTTGTTCCGCTAGCTGACCTTCTAAGATATTTGCCTCAGCATGTGCGCCGGGCTTTGTCGACGTGTGTACTGGTTGAAGAAGCTTCTCCTCCCGGTCAAGCCACCCGGGAGCTACCCGTCGCTTCTCTGCAAGCTCTCGCGCCTGATTTTCTTCTTCCCATTCTCGTATCTTGGCTTCTGTTTCTGCCCGCAGCTTGTTGATGTGATCCTGAAGCGCCTGGCACGAAGCGATAATATCATCTGGGTGGGCTGCGTGGCCGCCGGACGAAACCACGTAGCGCGGTTTTTCTGAGCCGGTTCCGTCCGCTAAAACAGTTGGTGGAAGGGTAGATGGCACGGACTTGTATGTGTATGGGAGAGTTGTGGCTGTTGGCAGAGAAATAAAGGGAGAGACCGCCAGCGGTATCTGGGCCAGGAGCGGATGGGGCTCTTTCAACAAAGCAGGTCAGCTGCTCTTCTCTTTTATTTAATGGTCGCAAGCGTAGTGGCCACACATTCACAGGTGAACTCACTGGAAGAGTCGTACATGCTGTGTGTAGGGAGATGAGGGTGTCCACAGCAAGGAGTCGTAGGCAATGAGACAGGCCCTGTAGGCGAGCGTAAAAAAGGAACTGGGTATGAATTCACTGGAAAGGTAAATAATAATGTGGGATGTCGCGATGCTTGCTGTGATGTCGGCTTGGTCGCTGCTGGTCTCGCTTTGGGGCCGGTGAGCTAGTGAGGTCCAGTGCCGCCCTGAGGAGACATCAAAACAACTTCCAATCCCCAAAACCCGGCTTCGTCAGACCTGAGACGATCTGCACGCTCCAACCCACCAGTTCTTGAATCACTTTCAGCTCTGCTGAATTTTCAAGGGCGTTCTCTGAGGCTGCAGAGCCGTCGAATGCGTTGCTGCCTCAATCGTTGAATTTAGGCTCACTGACTATTAATCAACCCTCAACCGACTAACTACCCCTTACCTCCACCGCGATCACGGCCTCACCGTTTCTTGATATCGCAACAGTTTTTCCAGTCAAACCCAACTTACTCCTCGCCTGATGGTATCCATCGTCATTTGCATCCTTCCACAATAATTCCTACTTTCTCGGGGCTCGTGACCAACCAGGGAAATTCGGCAGGAAAAAGGAATAACTATCCGTGAAACAACGGGGTACCCCTCCATTAAGCTCTTCCAACGGTGAACGCGCATCCATCGTCGATCTGTTATCCTGACTCCCTTGGGTGAATTACTGCGCTCGAGATTGAACAGGCATGGATGAGTCTAAAATCGTCCGTGCGGTCACGGACAAGAAGCCTGTCCCCGAAATTGATTTCACTCTCCACACAATGGAGGATGGGACCCAGGTTTCCACCCTGGAGAGAGTGTGTAAAGGTAGGTTGCTACAGCGCTCTGCATGCTGTTATCTTTCAAGCATCCTGTGCCGTTCTGACTTGCAACCACAGAGGTCCAAGCGCCTGCCTTTCAGACTCCCACAAACGAACAATTTTGGTCGCCAGCGGACCCGTCGAAGCCAAATTTACAGTTCCTCAAACAGCATTTCTATCGCGAAGGACGGCTGACCGAAGATCAAGCGTTATGGATTATACAGGCCGGGACAGAGCTGTTGCGCGCAGAGCCAAATTTGCTAGAGATGGATGCTCCAATTACTGTATGTGGTGACGTGCATGGCCAATATTACGACTTGATGAAGTTGTTCGAGGTTGGAGGAGACCCGGCAGAGACAAGATATCTATTCTTGGGCGATTACGTTGACAGAGGTTATTTCAGCATTGAGGTAAGCGTGGAGAACACATTGAAAGCTCCAGATGAAGTGCTTTCGTTTGCTGATCATCTGCCAGTGCGTTTTATACCTATGGGCTTTAAAGATCTGGTATCCTCATACCCTTTGGCTATTACGCGGGAACCACGAGTGTCGCCATCTCACCGACTATTTTACGTTCAAATTAGAATGTAAACACAAATACTCAGAACGAGTGTACGATGCATGCATGGAATCATTTTGCTCACTTCCATTGGCTGCGATTATGAATAAACAGTTCCTCTGTATTCACGGTGGTCTCAGCCCTGAGTTGCATACTTTGGAGGATATTAAAGCTGTGGGTTTAGTCTATTCTCCGCTATCAACTTGCTTGCGACTAACCTCAGTAAGATCGATCGCTTTAGAGAGCCCCCTACTCACGGGTTAATGTGTGATATCCTCTGGGCGGATCCTCTTGAAGATTTCGGCACGGAAAAAACAGGCGAGTACTTTGTCCACAACAACGTCCGAGGTTGTTCGTACTTCTTCTCCTATCCTGCAGCTTGTGCGTTCCTTGAGAAAAACAATCTGTTATCAATAATTCGCGCCCACGAAGCCCAAGACGCCGGATACAGAATGTATCGGAAAACTCGAACTACCGGTTTCCCCAGTGTGATGACCATTTTCAGCGCTCCCAACTACCTCGATGTGTATAACAACAAAGCCGCGGTTCTCAAATACGAGAATAATGTCATGAACATCCGACAATTCAATTGTACACCCCACCCGTACTGGCTTCCGAATTTTATGGATGTGTTCACCTGGTCTCTCCCGTTTGTTGGCGAGAAGATTACCGACATGTTGATTGCGATTTTGAATACATGTTCAAAGGAGGAGCTTGAGGACGAACCTTCTTCGTTTTCTTCTGCCCCTGCATCGCCGCCTCTTCCGATGGACACCGACAGTACAGAATTCAAGAGGCGGGCCATCAAGAACAAAATCCTGGCCATTGGACGTCTATCCCGTGTTTTCCAAGTGTTGCGTGAAGAATCTGAACGCGTCACGGAGTTGAAAACCGCATCCGGCGGCCGTCTGCCTGCAGGAACACTCATGCTTGGTGCAGAAGGTATCAAACAGGCAATTCACAATTTTGAAGATGCACGCAAGGTTGATCTGCAGAATGAACGACTACCACCTTCGCAAGAGGAAGTCATGAGGAAGGCGGAGGAGGACCGAAGACAGGCTTTGGAGCGCGCTGCCCAGGAAGCAGAGAATGATACCAGCCTTGCTACCGTGGCTCGAAGAATTAGCATGTAAGTTCTGAGATACAACCCCAGGCAATGAGAGTTGAACTAATCCACCGTTGCAGGTCATCTGGCACTGGCAGACCCCGTCGCAAGGAAACTTAAGCAAATGCCGGCGACTATCCGAATTCACCGGCTGTGCCTAAAGTTCTACTGTTCGTCTCCTTGACGCTCCTGCTACCTCCACTCCTCCCTTCACCTGCCTAGCTATTACATAACAGTCCGCTGTTGCATCAAAATAATTAGGCACAAATAAAAAAAAAAAGGAACCAGATTTACGCGAGGATGAATGACGAGGAGTTACAAATAATGATTATGGATGCACCTGCAAAAAATGTCTTCAGCATCGCTACCCGGCTCTGGGTTGGCGATTGCATGAGTTGAAATGACTTCTGGACTCAGTGATGCCGGTGATTTGTTTTTGTGTAATGGCTAGAGCTTGAAGATAGTTACTGCAAATGAAAATAATGCCGATTCGTGGTGAGGAGTAGAATATTCACACAAAATCCAGTCTCCGCCCGCATGATTTAATGCTCCCGTCTTGCCAAGACCCCCAAGCTGTCAATCCAGAGTTGATTTCCATTGCAACCCGACAACTTCGATTTCCCTCCACGCTCAACAGGCCCAATGCCCCCAAAACTTCGGATAGGGCTGTTGAAAAGGTCCTTGGGCCGATTAGATCCCCTTCCGGCCTGCCCGTTCTACCCCACGCCCTATCGATCATGCCCTTTCCGTCACTATAAATTCCCTAGCTCCGGCCGACGATCCTCGTCAACAGTCACGGCTTCCGTCCCAACGCATGCGAACCGATTCGTTCCAGACAGATATAGAGAATTATATGAAGCTCTGAGCCAGGTGCGCGACGTTGCGGCGGAACATGTCGACGCGGCGCGATTGCAATTGGTGCTGAGGGGTTTGGAGACGGAGGAGCCGGTGATCAGGGTCGCTGGTATGCTACGCTTGCTGCGAGAAGAAGAAATCAAGTCGGATGGCAGCTGATTTTTTTGAGCTTTTGCGTGATGGACAGTGCTTGGACTAGATGACACAGCTACGGCGGTCAGGCTTGTTCGGCTACTCCTTGCTGATCCATTGAGCTCGAAGGCAGCATGGGAGGAGCACCTTGAAAATTACCATTGCACGATGCGCAAGGGCTCTTGATAAGGTATGCATACTTCTAGTTGCCTTCATACGTTCGTTTATCTGATGGTGAACACAGGTATGGGGAGTTTTCAGAAAGTCTGGTGACGGATAGCTCAATACCCACAATTTCGATACCGTCGATATTGTTGCGCAATGCTAAAATCGAAATCCTAATTTCGTCGATACACACCGAAGCATCACATCTAGCGAACGACGATATATCTAGTGCGTTAGAGACACCTATGCTCTCCATCGGTTCATCCGACGCCGCTCATCACACCACGGTTCGATACCCGGTTCATAAGACCATAGTTTGTGGGAATGGGATCGATGATCTGTTGGAATACGCAAATTCGGCGATCAACAGAGACGCAGCTCATGGATCTACTGTCCGCGCGATATTCAACCTTAGTGCGGAACCAGCTCCCAAGACCGAGAACAAAAGTTTCTCCTTTGTTGACATGGCACGAGCGGAATTAGCGCTAGCGAAATTTCGCGAGTCGGCTCAGAACGCAACTGAGTACGAACGTGGATGGATTGGTAGTGGCATGCAGCAATTCATTGAATGGGTGACTAACCACCCACGAGATTCAGTGCTCCGTCCAGAGTTACACGATCTTGTCCAAACTCTTCTGAACGAAGCAGAGATGAAACTTGTTAAAGATGAGAAGGTCGCTCTACAAACACAGGAAGCTGCATCTGTAACAGAAGCCGTACGCGCGTCGCTAGATGCTGGAGTTGCGTCGTGGGCAGAAAGTGCGCACACGGAGCTTCGGGAGTCCCTTGACGAAGCATTTTCCCATTATAAATGGCGTGACCTAACGTGGTGGAAGCTCTTTTGGCGGGTGGACGACGTGGGAATGCTAAGCTCCAGTATTTTGGACAAGCAATGGCTCCCTGAAGCAGAAAGAAAAGCAATGTGGCTTGGCGGAAGATTCCAGCAGGCTGGAATTCTAAGCCCGGATGATTTGGCCTCAAGCAAAGCCGCGATTGACTCTGTATCCATGCAAGGGGAAAAGGGGAGAACCTCGACTGGATGGCCAACGACCATTGCAAAGGCTAGGAGTCAACTCCTCAGCACCAAAGTGCCATCGCTTCACGCACTAGCGCAGAGCTTAGTGCTCTATAGCGTTTCTACATCGACTTTAGCATCCGCTCTGTCAATGTTGACATACGTTTCCACGTCTAGTACCACCGTGTATGAGGCGGGTACAATTGTGGCTATTGGCTTGATTTATTCCATGCGAAGGCAGCAAAGACGATGGGATGCAGCCCGCACGTACTGGGAGAGCGAAGTGCGAGAGGAAGGACGCAAAGCCTTGAAGGAAAGCGAGGATGCGATGCGGGTTCTACTACGAGATGGCGGGCGAGAGACCGGCCCTGTCGTGGATGTAGAAGCAAGAGATGAGATCAACCGAGCCAGAGAGGCCCTGGAAAATGTAAAATAGACTCCATGTATTCTATATCAAGATCTATACCCATTTTTTCAAAGGCATTCCATTCATCAGTTCATTATTCGTTTGCACGAGATTCATGAGAGCTCCACGCTCCCTTCCGGAACACCACTCCTACTCCTCAGCCTTCGAGCGAAAAAGCGCATAATCGGCATCATCTCCTCTCGACTGCTGGGCATCCCATCGCCTTTTCTCTGCCACCTCACCGACTCCACAAACTCGAACTCGCTTTTCGTCCGACTCGTTCCACCATCCGTCACCGCGCTCTCCGGCGTCCTGCCGCCAACCAACAGCACCGGAGTCCTCGACTTTCCCCTCCCCCCATCCTCCTTCACAGCAGAAAGCGGAACCACCCCTCCCAGAGCCACCACGCCTCCAATCTCCCGATCCCCGGGCCTCCCTGACCGGTTCAACTCCATGGCCGCAGCCAGCGCGACCGCCGCGCCCTGCGCGTACCCGAGAATCAGGATCTCTCTGGGCTGGTATCCCAGTTTCCCGATTAGCACGTTGACGATAAGGTCATGCGCGACGAGGCGAGTGGCGCGGGTGAATCCCGGGTCTGGGTCGATTGTGTCGCCGTCGAATACGAGATCGTCGCCCCAGTGGTAACCTGTGAGGAGGAACGGGAGCGGGTTGGGTGCTTGGAGGGTGATGCAGGTTGTTTCGGGGAGGTGGAGGGCGGAAGCGAAGGAGTTGTACGGGGCGATGGTGTCGCCGAGGCCGTGGAGGATGAGGAGGATGTTTGTGCTGTTTGTGCCCGGTGGAGCGGGGGGGATGATGGACAGAGTCAAGGAGGATGGGAAGTCTGAGGATTGGGGGATTGGAGGCATGGTCCGAGTTCTTCCTCGACGGTTTTTGGCTGCTTTAGGGGGAAGACTGAGAGAGAGATGTTGTTACCGTTCCGTAGTTCGTGGTCGAAACCCCTGGCTGGATCTGGATGTGGCAGTTTGATAGGTTGGATAATTTGGATATTCCACTGACATGTCTATGGCGAAGTTGGCAATTGCTGGTTAACAGGTCTGAGCTCCAACCAGTAAGTTATCTCGCAACACAAGCAACAGATGAAGGGGCGGCTTCTCCACAGCGTATAAAGAGCCATGGGCAGGCTGGTTCGAAACTTCCTTTCAAAAGAGGTGGCCAGTCACTGCAATGCACGGCGATTGTCTTTGGGCAAATGAATTATTTTCCTTACTACTCGGATGCTCCGATACCCACATTGAACTCCCAACACAGACATGCACGTATTAAAAAAGAAATCTTCTTCGGTTGCCAATGCTCGCAATGCAGAGCTGTTGAGCGAGGACACATTCTCTGATGTAACCCAAGCATACGCTCTTTTACTTAAGAATGGTGCTGATAATTCGGAAATCCTAAGCTATCGGATCTCTCATGCGACAAAGGCACGATGCCCGATTAGGGGACACAAACCCTTTGCATAGGGGCTTCTATGGGACAAGCACGCCAGTCCCAATGTTTCTCCGCATAAAATATATCAATTCCCACTGTCCGGCTCTGGATGGATTAGCAGTAGCGTGACAAGTCTAGGCTTGTTGGAGTGCTCTTTTGCAACTTTCCGTATCTAAAGTTCTGGCTGTTGATACACAGACCAGATCTCACGTTGAGGGTCCCTTCTGTGTCACATCGTACCAAAGCAAGCTGTGTAACTCGAATGCTCCAGCCCACAGAGCGAAACTGCGGCGCAATGGAGTCTCTGCATCTCAAAGGTCCAAACGGAAAGATGCAGATTGCGAACGTAAAAATAGATTGGTCCAGTCAAGGTTTTCTTTTGCGCTGCGACTGCATGATAGGATGCTCAAAGGTGGACGATGGTTTGCTACCAGAAAGTTAGTTAGCTAGGGGAAACCAAGCTTTTTAACGGGTGGCCATGCTGCTGCAGGTGCTCAATCCACTCACAATCCACTCACAATCCACTCACAATCCCCATTACCAATGTACCATCCCCATCAGCATCCCATCAACATTGTCTGTTCCTCTCTGAACCCGATATCGCCGGCCCAGACCGCCCGCCATACGCTTAGTCAGCGAGGCTCCGGAGTGACGTGTGCCAAGACGCGGGAAGCGTGAGGTACCAACCACGTGCAAACCGGTTGGACGAAAAAGGAATTTTATACTCCGCGAGAGAGAATATTCGGTTGACGATGCAAGTCGGATTGCGCTTGATTTCGCTGGCAGCTCGTTCAATTGGCACGCACAGCGCGGACGGTGAATGCAGGTGGCTCCGGGGTCCCCCGCTCTCGTGAAATTTTGCACCGTCCCAACGGACCCAAGCGTGCTCCAACTTAAATGCCCAGCTGAGTTCCTCGTCAAGGCCGCTGCAAATTTCACATCCAGATCAAGTCGGCTTGCTGCCTCCCTCTCCGTGCCCATTGGAAACTGGAATCTGCGTCGAAGAATCTGTGGTTTGTCGATCATGCAGCCGACTTTGAGCCAAGATGAAGTTTGCAAAGTACTTTTCTTCCCTGTGGCACCGATGATCCAAAAAAAGATTTGCTGATCTTTCTTGAAATAGGGAGCTCGAACAGGAACTGGTGCCAGAATGGCGCGCCAAATACCTGAATTACAAGGTACGCATGGAATTGATTTTCGAATGGCACTCCTGAACTAATTGCGACTGCTTGTTCTAGCTTGGTAAGAAAAAGATCAAAGCCATCGCTCGTGCTCTACGCGCCATCGAACAGGCACCACGTACGCCCGGCCGTCGAGGCTTTCTGTCAGGACATGATGGTACACCTCGCATCGGACGCCCTGCTCTTCCCCAGTTTGGCCCGTATCGCGGATCAAGGTCGAAGGACCGTTTTGGTAGGCAATCCAGTTATGAGGAGACCGACATACTCGCTGGTCCCGCCAATCCTTATTCGCAGGACACGCCGTTTCCCGAGAGACGACCGCTGAAAAGTCCTTCGCGCTTCGCAGACTGTGCCGGAGGTTATGGCAGCATCGTGACGCCGCAATCCAACGCTACCCGTTCCACCGGCCTTCCGTCGTTGGAGCTTCCAGATCCAGCTCTAGATCCCAATGAGGCCAACTTCCCTCCCTGTACCCGAATGGTGAGTGCGAATTCTCTAGATTCTAGGGCAAATCCTACTCCTGGAAGAGGTCGAGGCCGGTGGAACCTTCAGTCAAGCATACTTCCCGGATCTAGAAATGTATTTCGACCTAGAGGTGGCTCTGTTCCTCCGGGACGTCTTACACGCAGGAGGTCCTTTTTGCAGCGTATGTTTACGTCGCGAGTTGAGCATGAATCTCCATCCGCGAACCCACCCGCTGAGGCGTTTCTCGAACTGAGGAATCGAGAAACTGAATTTTTCGATTTCTTGGACAAAGAGCTGGTCAAAATTGAATCTTTTTACAGGCTAAAAGAGGAGGAAGCCACTGAGAGGCTCAGGATACTCAAAGAACAGCTTCATGTAATGCGCGATATGAGACTTGAGGAACTCCGGGCCAAAGCCCGATTAAAACACCAGGGAGGTCCAAGCTCTGATATGCGTCACGACACGGATCCTGCGGCGAAATGGACGAGGCCACTAAGTAAATCCCTAAATGGTTTGTCGAAATACGACAAAATCTCAAAGGAGCTGGCGGAGCTACCTACTCCTGGATCCACCTTGCATCGAACCCGCAATACCGAAAACTATCGGGACTTTGTGCGCAGACAAGAAAATGATGTCCCATACCGGTCCGCCAAGAGAAAGCTCAAAACTGCTTTGCTGGAGTTTTATCGCGGATTAGAATTGCTCAAAGCATATGCGTATCTAAATCGAAAAGCTTTCAGAAAAATGAACAAAAAATACGACAAGGCCACAAATGTCCGGCCAACGGGGAGATACATGTCCGAAAAAGTCAACAATGCTTGGTTCGTTCAGAGTGACCTGGTTGAGAGCCACCTAGTAGCGGTTGAAGACTTGTATACTCGATATTTCGAGCGTGGTAATCGGAAAGTAGCCGTCACCAAGCTTCGCGGCAAGGCTGCTCGGTCGCTAGACTATTCTCCAAACTCTTTTCGTAATGGACTCTTGTTCGCTGCCGGCCTTGTTTTTGGGATCCAAGGGCTGGTTCATGCTGTTGGACATCTATTTAATCAGAATGACGACGATGATTATGATTTTGACGACCTGCATGTTCAAACTAGTTATTTACTCCAGGTAATTTTTCCCTGTATATCTCCATTCTCTACAAAGTTGCTCTCTAACTACAAGTCAGATTTATGGTGGATATACTCTCATTCTATTGCATTTTATATTCTTTTGCCTGAATTGCAGGGTCTGGACACGTTCGAAAATAAACTATGTTTTCGTTTTTGAATACGATACCCGGCATGTTCTGGACTGGCGTCAACTCGCGGAGGTAGGACTCTGGACCAGAGCATACGCTTGGATATTCTTCATTTGCGGTATAAACTAACTTCAACAGATACCTTGCTTTCTAGTATTTTTATTGGGTTTGGTTATTTGGTTAAATTTCCGATGGGTTAATGAAATGTATATTTTTTGGCCAATCCTCTTGATCGGGTTGACCGTTGTGATTCTGTTCATTCCGGCACGAATACTCTACCATCGAAGTCGAAAATGGTGGGCCTATTCTAACGTCAGTACAACATGCAGCCACCCGCTCTTGATGTGGAACAAAACTAATGCCGTGTAGTGGCGGTTGTTGCTCGCAGGGTTGTACCCTGTGGAGTTTCGAGATTTCTTCCTGGGAGATATGTATTGCTCTCAAACATATGCCATGGGCGTGAGTGCGATTCCCTGATATAATATGGGCCAAATCTGATAGATTTTTACAGAACCTTGCACTATTTTTCTGTTTATATTCTGCCAATTGGGAAGAGCCTGCCCACTGCAATTCCTCGCATTCGCGCGTAATGGGATTCCTCTCAACACTGCCATCTATCTGGCGTGCTCTGCAGTGCCTTCGGCGTTACAGAGACACGAAGAACTTATTCCCTCACATCGTTAACCTTGGAAAATACAGCTGCTCTATTTTATACTACATGACCCTCAGCTTATACCGGATTAACAAGATTGAGAGCCTGCGCGCTACGTTTATAGTATTCGCACTCGTGAATGCGATTTACTCGTCCATTTGGGATGTAGCCATGGATTGGAGTCTTGGAAATCCGTTTTCAAGAAACCCATTTCTGCGAGACTCTCTCGGATTTCGAAAACGATGGGTATACTATATGGCAATGATCATCGACCCGATCCTTCGATTTAACTGGATCTTTTACGCCATTTTCACGCACGACGTTCAACATTCTGCGATCCTAAGCTTCCTCGTGTCTCTCTCCGAAGTCTGTCGAAGAGGAATATGGTCCATCTTTCGTGTCGAAAACGAACATTGCACCAACGTCTCCCGGTTCAGAGCATCCCGGGATGTACCGCTACCATACGATCTACCCAGCGACACTTTCGACCAACATTCTCGACCCTTTGAGTCCACAACGATCCAACAAGCGGCCGCTGGAGTCCCCATCGCCCACTTGCCGCCCGCGACCCCAGCCACAGGTGTCGACGTAGAGCGTCTCGCTGCAGACAACACCACACCCTCCGGGATGCGCCACCGCCATGGTACCCAACCGTCAGAGACACCGGGTGGAACTCTGGCGCGTGTGGGCACCATGCTGGCAAACGCCCACGCAGAAGATTTTGAGCGGAGAAAACGTCCCGGGGTCGTTGGTAGCACGCATGATCATGATAAGAACCAGGCTCATTCCCATGGGCACCATGATCGTGACCATGGTCACGGTGTGCATCGGAGGGATAGCAGCACAGACGACGAAGAGGAGGAGGAGGAAGATGATGACGATGATGATGATGATGAGGGTGTGGTTGAGAGTGAAAGTGAGGAGAATGGGAGTAATGAGCTAGACGACCCGCGTATAATTGAAGGTGTGGATGGTAGGTTCAAGAACTGAGCCATGGTGACTTTAATACTTTGACCCTTTTGTTTTTGGATGGATATATAGAAGGTCTCTGAACCGTACATAGAACATAGAGATCATGATGACCATGCAGATAATTTTTATTTATCTTCAAGACACGTCGAACATTCCAGTATCTGACTTGGAGCAAAACAATGGATTCCAATCCGAATAGGGTCTATCCATGCGTGCTCTATCCACCTAACCAAAAACTACAGAACTACCTTCATGAAAAGATAATGGGTCATTCTAGATTAACATAGGGTGTGTCACAGTCTGGAATGTATATAGGAGACAAGAATTCAGCTAACGATAATTCATACGCCAACAAGCCCGACAAAATAGGAACACTGGAGAGAGAGATACAAAGGAGGAAATAAAGCAACCAGACGGAATTTGCGCCATTCATTCCAATTACACCATGACTCGCAAGCTTGATGGATTGGTCATATGATATAATTAGAGAGTGAAGGCATCCTTGATCTCGCTATAAATAGCACCAAGTTCCTTGGTTGCATACTTCTCGAATTTCTCAATCTTCTCAGCCAGGTGTGCCGCCTTGCCGTTAAGGGTGGCAGCTTGATAGCCTCCCTTCTTGATGATGTCGGTGTAGTTGGATGAGCCACCACCGTTCCATGCGAGAATCTAAGACGGGCGAGTTAGAAATGTTATTGATGAACAATGGTTATAGAGATGACTTACATTGGCGGTATCCGACGGAACATCAGTCAGGGCGTTCTGAGTGCCGATTGAGATCATATTCTTCTTCATTTTGGCTGGGCTAAGGGGCTCAACGGCGAAAGCGGAGTCCTGGTCGGGTTGGAGAGAGAGGAAATAGGCCAGGAGACCAGCAACGTGAGGGGAGGCCATAGAGGTACCAGAGATGGTGTTGACGGCGTATTTGCTTCCGATCCAAGTGGACAAGATGTTCAACCCGGGGGCGAAGATGTCATTGCACTTGCCGTAGTTGGAGAAGTATGCGCGCTCATCAGCAAGAGTGGACGCACCAACGGTGACGGCCTTCTCAGCAGCGGCTGGGGAGTAATTGCAAGAATCGGCGTTGTCATTTCCTGCTGCAACGGCGAAGTGGATACCCGCATCCACGGCAGCGTTGACAGCTAGATCGAGCGTGATGGACTTACCACCTCCTAAACTCATGTTGGCAGCGCTGCCCTTCAATTTCTTGCCATCTTTTTTAGCAGCAGCCATCTTTTGAGCATGGCTGGCAGCTGCCCATTCAACACCCTTGACGACGTCTGACATCGTTCCAGAACCATTCGATCTGAGCACCTTGACGGCATAGACGTTGGCCTTCTTAGCAACACCATACTTCTTTCCAGCAACGGTACCAGAGCAGTGAGTGCCATGACCATTGCCATCAACGTCTTCGTCACCAGCGGGAATTGTTTTACCCCAGTGAGCACGGCCTTCAAAATCCACGTGCTCTGTGTTGGTACCGGTATCGATTACATAGACATCGACGCCTTCACCGCCAGTTGCGGCATAGAGGTACTTGTTGAACGTGCCAAAACTTAAGCTGTCACGATGAGAAATTCGAGCCAGACCCCAGGGGGCATTTGTCTGCGTTTGAGGAGTTTCCAAAGCGTGGACCTCGGAATCTTTCTCAATGTATTTGACCTAGGCGACAGAGAGTCAGTTTGAATGAGTAAGCTTGGACAAAGGGTTCAACTGACATCCGGGTGTCTCCGGACTTGCTCAATGACTTCTTCATCGAATTGCCCAGAGTAACCCAGCAACGACCCCGCAATATCAAAAGTGTGCTTCAAGCCATCGAAGACGTCGTTTTTGAACGGAAATTGGTTGCGTTTTGTGAGGGACCGCTTGGCCATGACCGTGGTATGCAGGTCCTGGACCCACGTATGGTGTGCAGCAACCGAAGCTGGCGAGACATCGTTGTTGAAAACGATAATGTAGGAATCAGGAACCTCCTTCGAGTTGGTTGATGAAAGGATAGGTGCGGCGTCCTTGTGGATGGTGTCGACCGAGATGGGTGACGCAACCGCGAGGAGCGGCAAAAGCGAGAGGGAGAGAACGCTCTTCATGATGGAAGAGCTAACAGACAAAGACGGACCGCAGGAAGAACGTGCAATACACGATAGCAGAGCAAGATGGAGTTTGGCTAGCAGTCGATGGAGGTGGAGGAGTCCAGAGGAGGTTGGAGGAAGAGAGAGGGAGAGGATGTTGTTCCTGGGGGAAGAGCAAGAAACCAGGCGGAAGATGATGCAAAGCGCCCCCAGCCTGCGGTTCCTCAGCTCCGCATCAGGTGGCCCGCTTATGTCATTGGGCTCCGGGGCGGTGATTGGCTGGCTGGAGCTCGCTGCTTATCCAATGCCGGGGCTAGTCCAGTTCCGGTTAGCTACAGCCGTCTAAGGCTCGTGATTGGACGCCTCAACGCGGTTGGAAGCCCCAACAACTTCCCCGATCTCCGCACGATCCCTGTTGGAGAACTGTCTCGCCAACAGCTCAGCAACGATGAATGACTGCATCAGCTCGTTCAGTCCTCATCACTACTACTTCTGCCTCCAGTGACGACGCTTGGATTAATGACCCTGGTCCCTCCAGGCAGCTGTCCAAGCTCCCAGGAAGGTTATAGAGTGATGGGAGATTTACCGTATGGAGCCTCGAAGAAGAACCCTGTCAGCTGCCAACGACCAACATGCTTCCTCTATCAAACAGGGCTTCCTGTTGACAAACGGACTTGGTGCCCCCTCCAAGGTTGCTACAAGGCAGAGAGTTGTGGGAGGCATCTGGAGCATTCAGCGCCCTCTACAGAGTACCCTTGAGGCAAGTTCATGTGAAAAACAGCTAGAATCTTAGCACACAATCAAGATCTAGCTGCAATTGAGCATGGCAAAAGTATTCATAAACGATATAACACGAACAGCATCACATAAATAATTTTGCTTGATTTTGCTTACTCTTAGCTGGTGTTATAATGACTGTTTGGTTGCCCTTCCAGAGACAGAGTGCATATGAACCTCCACTGAAACCACAACATTGGGGAATCTCTTGAACGTCTGGAACTAGTCAAGAGTGGGAGGAAGAAAGTTCACAGTCATGAAACTGCGAAGACACGATACAGGAGAAGATCTTCTGATGAGCCAGCCACAAGCAGCGGATGACGACTCAGCGCCGCCCTCTTACCCCACGCCCTCGCAGCGTAGAACAGGAAGATCACCATCATACAGAGTACACACGCGACTCATCTCATCTCCTTCCTTGAGCAATTTGTTATCAGTCGAGAATCGGGTGCAGCTTCAGGTTCTGGTGCGGCTGGCTTGCAAACCTTCTGTGCACGTGAGTGACCTAGGTCCTGGAACGCGAACATATGGATTCACTCCACTGCCTTCACTCCGTAGAATCAGCCTTGCGGTGGGCCTGGCTGGGATCACTAACTCTTACCTTCTGTTTCAAATTTAGCGTCGAGGTGACCAAGGCAGATCCCCGATATTCTGAGCTTCACTTGTCGCAGGCGTTCCATTTTGGATTCAATACGGCAGTGACTTCCTAACACCTCTCCCTCTCTGTAAGAATGTCCGTGAAATCCTCATGAGATCCCGCGGCGGACAATCACTGGGATCGCAAGCATCACGCACGGACAATGAGCAGCGCGCTCTTGCGTCCGAGGCGCCCTTCATCCCCCGCAACCACCGAACGCTTGACCTCGAAGCTCCGCCCGACAATTGATACCTTGGCCAGTTGTATACGCGAGTCGTTGTCTCTCGAAGATGCATTGGAGACTACAGAGAGCATATTGTTCCTCCGTCACGCGTTTATCGACGATGTCCAGCCCCGAGAAGCGAAGGACGCGTTCCGCAACCTGCAAGGGTTTCAGGTCCTCTTAGAGCTCCTCGAACGGCTTGAGGAGCGCTACGAACCGCGATCGTTCGATCCACAGCACCGAAAGGCAATATTGGCGTTGATTAAGGAGATAATTGGCACTCTTGGGGAGAGCATGAAGGACCACCAAGGCAATAAACGTTACTTTGCAAAGCGAGTTCAAGGAGGCGGAAGCGCGTCCTTTGACAAAAGCTTGTCAAATATCGCTTCCAAGTTGGAGGATAATGTCGGTGGGAACAATATTGAAGTGGAACAATTCTACGGCGGCCTCTTTGCTGCTGGGCTGGGACAACAAACCGTTTCAGGCATTTTTACCTCATTGAGGAAGAAGTACGAGAATAGGGGAGAGCCTCTGTTACCAGCGATCAGGGAATCTGTATTCGAGACGCTGAGTCCTTCAGAAACAGTGGAAAATCCGGAATTCCTTGGACTGGTATTCCACCTCTGGCTGGAATATTCTTCGGACCTCTCAAAATACCCAATTCAGCGCTTGGCTATACCTGCCTGCCTCTCGCAACTTGCTGCACAGACTGCCCGAAATCGTCTAGGCCTCCACTCTACTGGAATACTAACATGCCTTTCAGATTTTATTGCCAATTCGAACCGTGGCAAAGAAGAATTAAGTCTTTATGGCGAGCTAGCTACTACGCTAAGTTTAGAAGGGTTTGATAGCCTTGACGGCGCCGAGGATCTTTATCGCAAAGCTCATTGTTCTCTGGAGGCCTCCAAGTTCCTTCTGGCAACTGTCAAGTCGTCGAAACAACCCCCGTCAGTCCAATTTGATATGGGACCCCATGGCTACTCATCAATTGAACTACCCACACTTGGAAGGCTGTTCCCGCCAGTTAATTCGGCCGGATATACACTCACGGTTTGGGCCCGATTTGACAATTTCGACCCTGATGTTCACACTACAATATTTGGTGCCTTCGACCCAACCCAGACATGCTTTATACTTGCATATCTGGAAAAGGACACTCGCAACTTTATTCTTCAAACTTCTATTGCTGGTAGTCGCCCAAGCGTCCGCTTCAAATCTACCGTTTTCTCTCCTGGCATTTGGTATCATATTTGCCTTGTTCACAAGAGACCTAGGCCGATGTCCTCGTCGCGCGCATTGCTATTCGTGAATGGGGAGCTCGTAGAGCAGCTGAAAACAGATTACCCACAGCCACCAACCAGCCGCTCTGGTCAGAAAATACCCCGCGTACAGGCTTTCTTAGGCACGCCGCAAGATCTAGCAGTAAGGGTAGGGAAAGGCGTGTCAACATCCAGATGGTCTCTGGCTTCAGCTGTATTGTTCGAGGAGGCGTTTACGGACGACATCATCTCTGTTCTGTGCCAGCTTGGACCACGATACTATGGTAATTTCCAAGACTGTTTAGGCTCATTTCAAACCTATAGAGCCTCTGCAGCTTTGAATTTACGGAATGAAAACCTCCATCCCGGGAAAGAGGAGCACTCGGACATTATGGCCGTGATCCGTCAGAAAGGTAGCATTTTGATACCCGAGAATTCTATTTTACTGAATATCTCCCCGACTGCTGTTCTTGACAGTGACGCGAGTTACACTGATGAGGCACAGTTAACCAAATTGCTGTCGAAAAATGCAGTTAAACATCTTAACCATTTTCTTAGAGTTAAAGGAAACTCTGTGGTCATAAATAGGGCTATACCCGCAATGAACAGTGCCTTGACTGAGCCGCAAGGCGTTGCCCTTCTGACGGGTAACCCCGTGATATCGGTTCCGCAATCATTGGATGACGCTGCCTGGCGAATTGGGGGCTGTGCTGCCGTCCATCTGAGCCTGGTTGATGCTGCTACTACGCCTGAGCATCTTCGACTGGCCGTAGAAACCCTGCTCGAGTCAGTGCAAGATAGCTGGCGGAATAGCGAGGCTATGGAGAAAGAAAATGGCTACGGGATTCTTAGTATACTTCTGAGGGAGAAATTGGGAATCAGTGCGGCCGTTCCAAACGCCCCAATAAAGATCACGCCAGTCTGCTCTACTTTACAGGACAGAAACGAGCTTTCCATGGAGCTGTTAATATTGATCTTGAAGTTTGTGGGATATGACTTTGAAAACCCAAAGAAATCTATCATCATTAATCCGCTGGCATATCGGGTTTTGTTAGTCGACCTGGACATTTGGCGACTCGGAGATCTCCCGCTGCTAGAGATTTATTATTCCCAATTTCGTACATTCTGCCTTGAGAGTTACCATCACCGGTTCAATGCTAGACGACTATCACGCATGCGTAAGGGTTTTCCTTAACTGCAATACTAGCCTTGGGGTAAAACTAACGATTAATAGGTGTCATTAAGAGATTGTTAGATTCCTTGAAAGATGACATTTTCACATCCGAGAATATAAAGCTGTTCATCCCTACTTTTAGCTGCCTGACGATCTGCTGCATGACGGCTGAGGTTCTCCGATCCATTGCGCTTTTTATTACATATTCTATCCACCAACCCAAGCTTCAAACCAGGTTGCAGAAAAAGAAGAGCACCGCAAGTATTGCATTGCAATTTCGACGGACCGCCGCACACCAGTTTCAGGGAAAGCATGTTGAATATATCTCTAAAGAGCACATAGGCTTAGAGCTCCTTCGAGCTTTTACCGACATTTTTTGTGCTTCAGAAAGCACTGTCAATATCCAGAAATTTGCTAGGACAGTCACCAACAAGGTTCGTATAACAATCAACCTCTGGAATAACCTTAATGAGCCATATCTGACAGAAATACAGTGGCTTCTCTATCTAATCTCTGAAGATGATTCAGAAGTAGTTACCCTGGCGACTAAAATTCTTGCGAGGTTACTTACGGTTCACGGAGCAAGCTATACTAGAAAATTTGACAAATCCGGAGGTTTCGTGATAATGCGCCACTGCTTGAAGCGCTGGTGGAGGTTACCCACCACATGGTTATTTTGTTTTGCTATCCTTTTTGGCGAGGATGTCAAGAATATTGATTCTTGCCGAGGGTTCGACACAACAGCATTCTCTGTTTTATTCGACCGCTTGGAAAAGATCAAAGTCGTATGTCCTGAGGTGTTTCCGGTTATCACTGGGATGCTACAGAGTGCATTGAAGTCGTCTATTCTAGGTGGACGCACTATTGAACCATCTGAAGAAAGTGATGAAGAGCTCTGGCTTGGTGGTTCGAATCGGAGTGGGAAGTCATTTTTAGGATCAGGTTAGTCGATTGGCTATGATCATTTCCCCTTATTTCCAATTCATCATAGGGCTAATGCTCACTCCAGGAATTACGCATAAAACTGAAGCTGCTCATGAAGATTTACTTCGTAACATTGTTCGTTTTTTAGCTACAATACACGCTAGATCTTCGAACTTTCGCGACTTTACCGTGACGTCAAATTATGTCGACGAACTGCTTCTTGTCTTGTTCCCAGTTGTGGTCGGTTCTGACCCGGTGAATGCAAGCGTTGAACTAAACTCCCGCAATGCAGGCCTTACATTTGGGAGTGAGAGCGTGATGATCCAGCCGCTTTCTGGCTCACGTCCAGTATTGCGTACTCGCACCGTCGAGCGCACTGGAGACCAGGAAGGCGAGCAGAGGCTCCAACGAGGGTCATCGTTTGTCCTAGTTTCGTCAGATAAGGTCAAATATAATCCATCTTCCGCTCGATTGCGGCATGTCGTGGAGCCTAGAACTGACGTGAGCAGTGCCGTACCGGCACACTCCATTGTTCAAGAATTACTGGATTTAATAGTCTCCGTGTTTATGGACCAGTTATTAACCCGCAAGGAGTTCCCCGGTTTAACGATATTTTTAAGAATACCTCCCGGATTTGTTGAGCATCAAGTCTACTTTGAATCTTGGCTGCAGCGAAACTCGTTGCTGCAGATAGAAAACTCTCTATCGGCTAACCAAAAGCTGCTTTTAGAACCACGAGTCCTGACCAACCTCGCAAGACTACTAACCCAGGTTGCAGACGCTATCTACGAAGGCTGGTTTATCGACGGCGCTACTGCGACATTGGATTTCGCTGGCCCAATTCTAGAATATCTCCAAAAGGGTGAAATCGCATCTCTGAAAAGCATTCGTCTTTGCAGTCAAACCATTGGCAATATACGATCCATAGTTTTTCGTACCGTCTTGTTGAGACTATCTGAGACGGAAGATACCACAGCGCTTTCTTTTCTAAAGCGCCTTAGCTACTGGCAAACGGCCCTCTTAGGTTCCGACGAAACTCAGACAGAACACCTACTGCTTATGTGTTACCTTTTGTATTCAAAAATAGTTACCGAAGAAGGGGACGTTCGCTTGGAAGCCGCTGTGTTGTGGCGCATCATCATGGTCCAGAAACCTACAGAAACCCTCGCTATGTTGAATCAAACTAGCACCTCGCTTCGGGAGCGACTTTCTGCTGGCTTCCAGCTGCTTGTTACAATGGATGACAGTGGTTTCTTGCAATGGGTTGATGATCAACGTGACGACCTTGACTGCTTCTTCTTTGGTACATTATCGAAGGTATGGGAGAATTTTGTCAAACAGGAAAACAACAAGACGGACGAAACCGCTAGAATCCGGGTCTCAAAGAGAAAGGAGAAACTTAAACAGTGGAGTCAAACCGACGCCACGAATGAAGAGATTATTCGCAGACATGATGTTACATTCGGGCATTGGACTTCAAACATTTCGCTTTCTGAAAAGTTGAAACATCAAAGATATGCACAAGATCAGCAGGACGACTTTACATTTTTGTTGTCCAGCTTTTCCCGCATATACCGCAACCTCCGACATGACAACGGCCTTCTTGCTGAGCGTGGGGACGTCAAATGGCGCTTAGACCAAACAGAAGGTCGCAGCAGAATGCGTCAGCGTATTGTTCCCGATGATACACTGGGTAAACAAGACTATCAGCCTAAACGCAGAACGACTGGCGAATCGAATAAACCGGATACCCGACAGCGCTCCAATACGGAGAGGAGTGATGTGGTGGCTGTCACTCCAACGGAAATAGCGGCTGAAGGGATAGACGAAGGGTCAGGAGAAAACGAACCCGATGATAAAACGGGCCTTGATGACAGCTTTGAAATCATTGACGGACCCAGAGAAAGTGACGAAGATTATGAAGATAAAAATCGAAAGGTGATGAGGAGCCTCCATCGAGGAGACCAGGTTCAGCATGTGTGCAATGTGTCCAGGATCATTGGGCTGGAGGCGTGCGAGGGTCTTTTGATTCTAGGTAAAGACAACATCTACATCATGGATAACTACTTTCAGCGTCCTGACGGAGAGATCGTCAATGTCTGGCAAGCTCCTCGAGAGGAGCGTGATCCATATGTGCGGATGATCTCTGGCCGAGAGTCAAACGAACGAAAATACAACAATGGCGAGCACGAAACGAAGAGTTGGAGTTGGCTGGATGTGGTTAGTGTCTCTAAACGCCGGTTTTTATTCCGAGATGTGGCCCTTGAGATATTCTTCACGGATGGACGCAGTTTTCTAGCAACTTTGATTTCGTCCGCGGCTCGAAACGAGCTACATTCCCAATTGATTTCTCGTGCGCCGCAAACCCAAGGAGTCGGCAATTCGTCACAGCTAGACGACTCATGGAGGTTTGAAACACTTCGGAATCAAGAAAGTAAGCCTCAATTCTTCGGCTCCAAACTTGCCAATGTCTTTGGTCAAGGGGGTTTACATCCCGCAACCCGAAAATGGCTAAAAGGCGAAATGTCGAACTTTCACTATCTGATGCTGGTAAACACGCTCGCTGGACGGACTTTCAATGATTTAACCCAGTATCCTGTTTTCCCTTGGGTGCTTGCGGATTACACGAGCGAAGAGTTGGATCTTACCAACCCAAAAACCTTTAGGGATTTGTCGAAGCCGATGGGGTGTCAAACCCTTGAGAGAGAGGCAGAATTCAAGAGCAGGTATCAGTCTTTTGCGGAGATGGGTGATCATAACGCTCCTCCTTTCCATTACGGAACCCATTACTCTTCCGCCATGATAGTCTGCTCATATCTGATACGACTTCAACCATTTGTTAAATCTTACCTTCTGCTGCAAGGCGGGACATTTGACCACGCTGATAGATTATTCTATTCGGTCCCCAAAGCATGGAACTCGGCCTCATCGACAAATATGACAGATGTAAGGGAATTGACGCCGGAGTTCTTCTACCTACCCGAATTCCTGGTCAACTTCAACAAGTATGATTTTGGCCTGCGGCAGAGTATGACCCAAGCTATAGACACCGTGGAACTCCCACCTTGGGCTAAAGGCGATCCAAAGATTTTTATCACAAAGCACCGTGAAGCGCTTGAAAGCCCCTATGTGAGCCGAAACCTCCATCGATGGATCGACCTCATTTTCGGTTATAAACAGAAAGGTGACGCTGCTCTTGAAGCGGTGAATGTGTTTCACCACCTATCTTACCAAGGGGCAAAGGATCTTGACAACATCGAAGACCCCGTCGAGAGGCTAGCAACAATCGGGATCATTCATAATTTTGGACAAACGCCGCACCAGGTGTTTAATAAACCACATCCCCAGCGGGAAGAAGTGCACCACAAGCTTAACCAGTTAGATATTGCGGCAGAGAGCTTGACCCGTCTTCCGTTTACACTTTTAGGTATGTAATCCGGTTTCTTGGTAGAGAGAATATTGTAGAATAGGCCTAACCATACTATATAGATACCCAAGAACGTGTAACATCTTTATCGTTTTCTGTCAAGCACGATCGACTGCTTTGTGCGGCTGCGTTTAGATTGAATATTCCACCTAATTATGATAAATACATGGAATGGGGGTTTTCGGACAACAGCGTCCGCTTCTACGCTACAGATACCAGGAAGGTATGGAAAATACATTCATTGACCGATCTCAACCGGAATACATAGCTAACCGTCTTTTACTTCGTAGCTCGTTGGTCATTTCGAACATCTACATATTGGGCAATTGTCGTGTTCAATGTTTGCAGATTCCCAAACACTAATTACCGCTGGTGTCGATTGTACCATATCGGTATGGTCGTATACCGCAACTGGGAGATCTGTTGACTTGCACCCTAAAGCCTCGCTCTTCGGACACCGGAAACCGGTGACAATGTTGGCAGTGTCTCGTTCCTTTAGTACCATACTGTCGGCCTCCAGGGATGGTAAACTGATGCTTTGGGACCTTAATCGACTGGAATTTGTGAGAGAATTACCACCTGGTGAACCCGTCGATGTAAGTTTGCTCTTTTTGCTTTGAGACAGCCCCTATTTGCCAGACAGATTGCCTAACTACTCCAAAAGCACGTCCGTATAAACGACGCTACCGGAAATATCATGGTCTGCCGTGGCAACCGCGTAAATCTCTATTCGCTAAATGGGGCGTTGCTTCTCGAGCAAGTGGTTTGCGACCAAAACGAGGACAGCGTGCTCTCATGTGCATTTTACGAAGGCGTCAGCAATGAGTGGTTAGAGCGGGAGTTGATTCTCACAGGTCATCGGCGTGGACTTGTTAATGTGAGTTTAGCCCAGTCTCTTTCAAGTCATTTCCACCACATTAACGTCAATGCGTGGATGTAGGTTTGGAGCAAGGCTATTCGAAACGGGCGGTTCGAACTGGACTTGATTCGACAACTCCATCACGTTGACCAGGTTCGGGGAGACGGAGCAATGTCTGCTGCAGGTATTACCTGTATCCTACCTCTGGCGCAGGCGGTCTATACGGCTGACGAGGCTGGACATGTGGTGAGTATCCCCAGCACGATTTGATGCCTGTCTCGTTGCTGATTTTGGCTTCGATTAGTTTGAATGGGATTGTGTGCAACGCCGCTAAAACCTTGAGTTTCGCAACTTCTTTACAGTCATGGTCATGAAGGGAATGAACTTTGAACGCTGTCATGGTGAAATGAATTTATATATTGTTACTTGTCCTTGAATGGCATAGACCAGGACTGGTGTTAGACGGATGGGATTGATGGCGATTTGTAGGTCTATGAGGAGGTACACATACTGGCTGGTGGTTTTGTAGACCTCCAGGTCTCTGATTAGCCTCCCAATAAAGGTTCAAATATTACTAGCCTGGCATGTCTCGATGAAACCAAACACATGGGGTTGCAGATTCAGGCTAGGTTTGAAATTATGATGTGCAGCAAGCCTCACTCCGAGGAGTTCCAAGCCTTCTAACTTACTTAATTCCAAATGGCCATGAGCAATGTAGATGTGATATTGTCGAATAGTGAATGAACAAAGAAATTGATATCATACTGCAGTAGCAATCCGGATTGCGGCATTAGACCTAAGAGGGTCACACCAAGTAGTTCCACATACTGGCAGACGAGCGTGGGTACCTGGAAGTACCTCTGCTGCTGCTCTGCCGGTGAGCCCAACCCATTGCCCCACCTGGTTGCATCAGAGGTTGTTGCTGCTTATTCATGCTTGAACAACCATCTTCTGGTCGACTTGAAGCTTGCAAGTTGAATCATCCCGCCACCTCGACGGAAAAAGGTTAGGTACGTACCGTGCTGGTGATTGATTTATAAGACTTCAAACTGCCTTTTGCCTTCTGACATTTGAATCTTTAGATACCCCAGAAATTGGACTCTTTTTTGCTACGCCTATTCACAGACTGACGACCTTTTCTTGAGATTACATTTGGTAGCCCAGCTAACGACATCTGAACGAACTGCAAACATGACGTCTGCTCTTGATCAGTTGAAAGCCACCGGCACTGTATGTCAAGCCCATTGCCACATGAATCTTTGCTTGATTATGCAGCTGGGGTTGCGATAAACTACCTTGAGAAGGATAGATTGCTAACATATTCTCTTTTGCTGCCAATGATAGACCGTGGTCTGCGATTCTGGTGATTTTGCGAGTATGTCTCCTATAGCAGCTTCAGACAGCCTACCCGCAAGACCGCTAACCATCTCTTACGATTAGCCATTGGAAAATACAAGCCAGAGGATGCCACCACCAACCCCTCCCTCATTCTCGCCGCCTCCAAGAAACCAGAATATTCCAAGTTGATAGACGAAGCTATCCAGTACGGAAAGAAGCACGTATGTGGCGACTACCCTCCGTTAGGAGACAGAATAAGTTTGCTAATGGTTGTGGCGGCTGTAGAGTAGCTCCCTTGAGAGCCAGGTCGACTCGGCGCTCGACCGACTCCTGGTTGAGTTTGGAAAGGAGATCTTGAAGATTATTCCCGGCAAGGTGTCGACGGAAGTTGATGCCCGCTACTCTTTTGATACAAAGGCCTCTGTTGACAAGGCCCTTCATATCATCGAGGTTAGTATAAACCTATGCGATTTAGTCTTTGAAGCAGTTCGGTAAAATTGACAACCATCATCCAGCTTTACAAATCCGTCGGCGTCCCCAAGGAGCGCGTCTTGATTAAAATTGCTTCCACCTGGGAGGGTATTCAAGCCGCCCATATCCTCCAATCGCAACATGGCGTCAACGTCAACCTTACGTTGATGTTTTCTCTGGTCCAGGCCATCGCTGCCGCCGAGGCTGGCGCTTATCTTATTTCTCCATTCGTCGGGCGTATCTTGGATTGGTACAAGGCGGCCATGAAGAGGGAGTTTGCTTCCCACGAAGACCCTGGCGTGGTGAGCGTCCAGAGCATCTTCAATTACTACAAGAAGCACGGATACAAGACCATTGTCATGGGTGCCTCATTCAGAAACACTGGTGAAATTACTGAACTCGCAGGCTGCGACTACTTGACAATCTCAGTAAGTTTTGACCGTAAATCATCCTGATAATAACAGAGACATGATTTAACGAGCATCACAGCCAAACCTTCTTGAAGAGCTGTACAACTCCACTGCCTCTGTGCCCAAGAAGCTTGACGCTTCCGCAGCAACCAAGCTCGACATCCCTAAGCGCAGTTACTTGAACGACGAGGCCCTTTTCCGCTTCGATTTCAACGAAGAGCAAATGGCAGTGGAGAAACTCCGCGAGGGCATCTCGAAATTCGCTGCCGATGCTGTCACGCTTAAGAAAATCTTGCGGGAGAAGATCCAAGCTGCATAGAGGCTGTCACCTACAGCAGTCTGACCAGCGGAGATGGATGGGGTCAAGAGGAACTATTCTGGAGCACTAGATGGCATGCTTGATTCTGAGCTAGTTAAACTGATCATTAGCTTCCAAATTGCATGTATTGACCAGTTCAGCCACCAAGATAGTAGTTGTCGTCCATTTCATTTGCGTTGGGCCATACTTTGCATTGAGATGTTGACAGTCGATGCGGGGGTCCAGGCCCGGGCACTTAGTCAGCCAAGCCGGATAAAGAAACAGCAACGTCATAGCTTGACCCCACCATGCTACCCCTCAGCACAAGCACACAACAGGCGATTGCGGAAAATAAACAGAAGAACAGTTCTGAGTAGCTGGCGAGTGTAATGTGAAAATGTGTGTGTTGGGATAGACGAATTGGCGAAGCTGGAACAATTGCAGCCTCAATTGAACTGTGAGACACAGCATGGCTCCTGGGCCGTGTGGTTGATACAGATTCGTGCGGCGAGGCAGGAGTCACCGGCTTGTGAACAAGGAGTGCTGTGCTTACGGCATCTCCATATTTCTTCCCGGCCTCGTCCCGACTTCATCCCATCCGTTTTCTCGTCTCCTTCAATTCTCTGTCTTCATCCGTCAAATCAATCAACCCGTCTCACATCCCTTTTGTACCTTTTGACAAGCAATCAACACACGAATTCGCCAAAATGGTCAAAGCAGGTATGCCACGTCCCCCTATATTTAGCTTCCGCCTGCTCCTGGGGATGGTTGCGTGGATTTCTTTGGCTCGTCCCTTGTAAATCCCCTCAAACCACCGCTTATCATCCCTCCACCAAGGTCCCTTGGGATGCAGTGGATGTGAGCACCTGAGTGGTCGTCCTGAGGGTTTCCCCGCCCTGCTCGACTGTTCGAGCTTGACCCAGGGATTCTCTCTTGGGCCCAATTGACCCTGGCTTGCTCTTCGTGGTCATTATGGGAACCCTGTTCGTTCGACTGTAGCTGTTCCCGCAGCTCATGAAGTTCCTTTGCCCTTTCTCTTGCTGGCCCGGCGGAGCCTCCTATGTGCACTAGCTGATTGAAATGTATTCCAGTTGCTGTTCTCCGCGGTGACTCTAACGTCAAGGGCACCGTCACCTTTGAGCAAGCCGATGAGCACTCCCCAACCAAGGTATCCTGGAACATCACAGGCCACGACCCCAACGCTGAGCGTGGCTTCCACGTTCACCAGTTCGGTGACAACACCAACGGCTGCACTTCTGCAGGCCCGCACTGTACGTTCATATTTCGAAGGTTTCCAAAAGGTTTGGCGACTAACTTCTCAGTCAACCCTTTCTCCAAGACTCACGGTGCCCCAACCGACGAGGAACGCCATGTTGGTGACTTGGGCAATATTACCACCGACGCTCAGGGCAACGCCGTTGGATCCGTCGAGGACAAACTGATCAAACTTATCGGAGAGCATAGCGTCCTCGGCGTAAGTCTCAATTCCGTTTAATGGGTATACGGGGTACGGAGCTGACTGGATGATCTTTTGTAGCGCACCATTGTCTGCCACGCTGGCACTGATGACCTTGGTAGAGGTGGCAATGAGGAATCCAAGAAGACTGGCAACGCTGGTCCTCGTCCTGCTTGCGGTATGTCCCCACGTTCTGCTGTACTGATTTCGCTCATGAGTATCTAACACACTGCTTCACAGGTGTCATTGGCATTGCGGGTTAAATATTCGGCCGGAATTCAATCAGAATGCCCTGAAGCAATAAAATTAGTGACTGAGCAGTCAGTTGAAGACGAAAAGTCCGGGCTGAACCTTCCAGTTTATCAATATGAACCAGAGGAGATCCTGTACCTAGTGAGAATGCTTAGCAATTAGCGAATGAACAACCAAGCATCTGGTTTCAAAACTGCAGCACAGTTGAATGAATGTTATCAAGCGCCACCTAGGCAGAAATCGATCCAGCAACTGGATTTGTTGAGAAACAAAGCGAACAAAGGGAAACAATTTTATTCCCGCCCGGCGGCTGTTAGTGAGCGACTTTTTGTCCGGGCCAGCAAAGAAGGAAAAGAACGATGCAACGCAGACATGGAAGTTGAGGATTTGCAACTCTCCTTTTCATCTTCACTAGCCAGCCCCTTTTCATGCAGTTATGCCTGGGATAACTAACTAACTAACTATGTAGTACTCCGTAGAGGTTTTGGGATTCTGGAAATTCCACTACAAAGACATAGTTATTTCCAGACCCAACCATCTAGTTAACTACACTTTTCAATGAAGGTAAAGTCTGTATAACTACAGTGAAACAATGCCTTATTGGTAACATGGAAGAAAACTGCAATTGACTCGTAACCAAAGGTTTGGTTTGTTGTTTAACTATGAGAAGAAGTAACTATGTGAAGTAGACAGGTATGCTACGGATACTCAGTATTTTCGATAGCTTCTTTCTCAACGGTCACACCCTGAACCGAGTCCCTGCAGTGTTATCGTTGATGGCGAGAAGGTGGCATGAGCTGGGATCCGGGGGGCCACACTAGTCGAGTTTCACCCCAGATTTCACTGCCAGAGGCCACAAACAAACCACCTTGCTGTTATTCTCCCCAATCCTGCCACTCTCTTTGCTTTCCACTCCTTAACTGCATCACTTTTACCCCAGAGTCTATTCTCTCTGGTCAATTGTGTGTCTCACAATTAGACTCCTCAGCATTAAGTTCCGGAACAATGCCTCTCCTGGAAGCTCGCGTGAAAAGTGTCCTTTCCGGCGACACCCTCGTATTGACACATGTGACCAACAAGAGCCAGGAGAGAATCCTCAGTCTTGCATATGTTTCTGCTCCCAGGCTGCGCAGGGAGGGCGACGAGGTAAGTGCCTCCTACATTGTCCCCTATTATCTGCTGGTTTGAAGGCTAGCACTAACAAAAACTCCAATCTCCTTCACCTCCTCAGCCCTTTGCCTTCCAGTCCCGTGAATTCCTTCGCGAGCTCCTCGTTGGCAAGGTGATCCAGTTCCAGATCCTCTACGTCATCCCCACCGGCGCCAAACGAGAATATGGCATCGTCAGGCTGCCTGGTGGCAGAGAGCTGCCGGAGCTCTGCGTGTCCGAGGGGTGGGCCAAGCTCCGTGAAGATGCTGGTCGGCGAGACGAGTCTGAGGACACAGCGTTGGTGCTTGATAGACTGCGAGAGCTCGAGTCACGGGCACGCTCAGAATCAAGGGGTGTCTGGGGTCAAGGACAAAGCGCCGAGGTCTCCTACGACATTCCTGAACCGAGGGCTCTTGTGGATAGCTTGAAGGGCACTATGGTCGATACTGTGGTGGAGAGAGTATTAAACGGCGATCGTTTACTCGTCCGCATGCTGATCTCACCGCAAAAGCATGTTCAAACGATACTCGTGGTGGCGGGTGTTCGTGCCCCGTCAGCGAAGCGAGTCAATGCAGATGGAACGGCGCAGGCTGGCGAACCATATGGCGACCAGGCACAGCAGTTCGTGGAGGATAGGCTGCTACAGAGAAAAGTCAAAGTGTCTCTACACGGTGTCACGCCACAGAATCAGCTCGTCGGCACTGTTCTTCACCCCAATGGCAACATCGCCAAGTTCTTACTTGAACAGGGTCTCGCGAGATGCTTTGACCATCATTCCACCCTCCTGGGTAACGAAATGGCCGCGTTCCGGTCAGCGGAAAAAGCTGCCAGGGACGCTCGGCTTGGTTTGTTCGCAGATGCCGTACGGAAAACAGCTCCTTCAGCAGGTGCAAATGCAGATTTCGTTGTTAGTCGCGTCCTGAATGCCGATACCATCTTTGTGCGCAACAAGGCCGGAAAGGAAAAGAAAATCAGCCTTTCCAGCGTGAGGCAGCCAAAACCATCGGACCCTAAACAAGCACCTTTTAGCAATGATGCGAAGGAATTCCTTCGTAAAAAGCTCATTGGCAAACATGTCAAGGTGACTATCGATGGAAAGAAGCCTGCAACCGAGGGATTTGAAGAGCGCGAGGTTGCTACAGTGATGGCGGGAAATACTAACGTCGCCATTGCATTGGTTGAGGCTGGCTATGCTTCCGTTATCAGACATAGACGTGACGACGATGACCGGTCTCCTGATTATGACAGTCTACTACAGGTGGAGGAAGTCGCCCAGAAGGAACAGCAGGGCATGTGGTCATCGAAACCACCCAAGACCAAACAATACAATGACTATTCCGAGAGTTTACAAAAGGCAAAAATGGAGGCTTCTGTTCTTCAACGCCAGAAGAAGGTTGCTGGTGTCGTTGACTTTGTCAAGTCGGGCTCGAGATTTACGATTTTGATCCCACGAGATAACGCGAAGCTTACTTTTGTCCTTTCCGGCATACGAGCTCCTCGATCCGCTAGGAACCCCGGTGAAGCCTCCGAACCCTTCGGCCAAGAGGCTCATGACTTTGCGAACCGCAGATGTATGCAACGTGATGTTGAGATTGATGTTGAAACCATTGATAAAGTTGGAGGATTCATCGGAACCCTCTACGTTAACCGAGAGAACTTTGCCAAAGTACTACTGGAGGAAGGTTTAGCAACAGTCCACGCCTATTCTGCTGAACAATCGGGGCATGGCCCAGAACTATTTGCCGCTGAAAAGAAAGCCAAAGAAGCGAGAAAGGGGCTCTGGCATGACTGGGACCCCAGTAAGGATGCAGATGAGGAGTATGAAGATTCGCCTGCTGCGAATGGCGCTGAACCTGCTGAAGCCGTCGAGCGCCGTAAAGATTACCGGGACGTTTTGGTCACGAATATTGAGGAGGATGGCAAGCTCAAGGTTCAGCAGATTGGCTCAGGCACTACTGCATTAACTGATCTTATGAATTCTTTCCGGTCATTCCACCTTAACAAGGTGAATGATAAGCCGTTGGAATCCCCACCCAAGGCTGGTGATCTTGTTGCTGCTCAATTTACGGAGGATAACGAGTGGTATCGAGCCAAGATCCGACGCAATGACCGCGAGGCCAAACAGGCGGATGTTTTGTATATCGACTACGGAAACACTGAGAGAATTCCCTGGAGTCGCCTCCGCCCGCTCTCGGCACAGTTTTCCATGCAAAAGTTGAAACCACAGGCCGTGGATGCGGTGCTTGCTTTTGTTCAATTCCCCATGTCACCGGAATATCTCGCGGACGCCAGGCGTTTCATTGCCGAGCAGACATTCGATAGGCAATTGGTCGCTAACGTTGAACACGTCGCCCCAGAAGGAACGCTCACCGTTACACTTCTCGATCCGTCAAACTCGGATAATCTTGAACAGAGCATCAACGGCGACCTGGTTCGTGAAGGACTGGCGATGGTTCCCCGGAAGCTCAAGCCCTGGGAACGTTCTGCAGGTGATACCCTTGCGCATCTGAAAAAATTGGAGGAAGAAGCCAAAGAGAAGCGACGAGGGATGTGGGAGTATGGTGATATCACCGAAGATTAAGCACTTCCTTCTCTTCAATTGATAGCTGCGATGATCTCGAAAAAAGTAACAAGGCCAAAGTTTGTGACTGGTTTATTTGGTTCAATAGCTTGATGCACATTTGTGATAGCCCACAAAGCCGGGCTTGATAGAGACAGACTGCGTTGCTGCGAAATCAACTACGTCCAAGGACATGACGGATTCAATTTGTCTTCTTAAGAGCCATCACGTTAGGGGCACTCCGTATGTCGAGTAGTTAATAGTGATGATTTGGTCCGTCGGGGGACGAGACAACGCCGTAGTCCCCGAGTTCGGCCCAGCCGCAAGGCTGCACTAGAGTCACCCATCACATCTTCAAAACAACCGGTCATTCCGACAATCCCCAATTTCAACCCAGCCGTTGTGTTCTTAATTTGCAAAACTTTCCGCTATATAATCTCATTAATCCTTCCAAAAAGTCTCCCGGCATTCCGCCAGTCCCTTTCCCTTTGGCCTATACCGCGGTTAACAGGAATCTCCAAGGCGCTCTTCAAGCCAACAGCCAAGGAGGAACCATGACGCTCGAGCGAACGCCGACGAACCAGTCGCACCGCAGCAAACGCTCCCATCACTCGCATTCCACCTCGCAATCCCGCCCCCACAGCGCGATTCACAGGACGAGGACGAACCAGTCTATCAACGGAAAAGAAACGCCTGACCACCTCCATGGGCATTTGAATCACTTGACGCCCGAACAGGAGCGGGCGCTGGAGGAATTTAAAGCCATTTGCACGGAGAAGGAGCTGTATAGGCCGGCAGAGGAGGGGAAAACGGCGAGTCACGATGATGCTACGCTATTGTATGGATAGAGAACCCTCCTTTGGGCTGGAATTTGTGGCATCTCTGAGGGATTGCTAACGACGCCTTCAGACGGTATCTACGCGCTCGCAAATTTGAGGTGAAGGGGGCATTGGATCAGTTCCAGACGACGGAAGAATGGCGGAAAGTAAATCAACTTGATACGTTGTACGAGAAGTTCGATGTTGATTCGTACGAAGAGGCGCGGCGGGTGGTTAGTTCCCTCGCTCAATATGCACTTCAGAGAACCTATTACGCTTCCTCTTGATCTGACACAATTTGTGGTATAGTATCCCCAGTGGACAGGCCGCCGCGACCGACGAGGCATACCCGTTTACGTCTTCGTGATCAAACATCTCAACAGCAAAAACATGGCTGCGTACTCGTCTGGCGCCGCCTCGACCGCTACGTCATCAACGCATGCTTCGTCCACTGTATCTCCGAAACTCTTGCGTCTCTTTGCACTCTATGAGAATATGACTCGATTTGTGGTGCCACTGAGCTCCTCGCTCCCGCGGCCTAACCCAGAAACACCGATTTCCAGCACGACGAATATCGTGGATATTTCAGGAGTTGGGCTCAAACAGTTTTGGAATCTAAAAGGACACATGCAGGACGCGAGTGTTTTGGCGACGGCGCATTACCCTGAGACATTGGATAGAATTTTTGTAAGAGCCGCTGAACCACGGCAGGCTTCTGGACGTTGAAGCCATGGACTAATAATCTTCACTAGATCATCGGTGCGCCTTCCTTCTTCCCGACCGTCTGGGGATGGATTAAACGCTGGTTCGATCCCGTCACTACATCAAAGATTTTCATTCTCTCCGCTTCTGAAGTAAAATCGACTCTTACTTCGTTTATGGACCCATCCAGCTTCCCTAAGCAATACGGCGGTGAGCTCGAATGGGAATGGGGCGACATGCCCAGCCTCGATGAACCTGCCCGAGAGCTTGTAGGTGTCTTGGAACAGTTAGGTCCAAAGGGAGACGGTGATATCGGCCAGGAGGAATTGAGCAAGACGAACGAGGAGAGGAAAAAGAACTTTATCAAAGGGCCGGTCGCATGGTTAAAAGATCGGATTGAAATCTTCGGTAGCATCGGCGGCCAGGATCGCAGGAGAACAATCCCTGTTGAGAGGACACAAGACGCAGCAGGGCACAGCGAGCCGGATCATGCTGATGCCGAAATCGTTGAAACTAACGGTGATATCGAAAAATCGCCCACACCCGTGGCCGAGCCTGAAGAGAAACCTGCCGTATCGTCACAGAACCAACTCAATGGAGAGACTGTGGCTTGAACATTGCGTTTGGCATAAGTCACGAGTGAAAAGTCCTATCTGAGCCATTTTTTTCAATCTATGTTATATGTGAGGGAGGGTCGACTTTTAGGATACTGCTGCCCAGTATTCTGCTATTTAACCCCATCTTCCAGGTTTTGTCATACTCCCCATTTCAGTTACTCTCTGTGATTATGGCCATTGGAATTTTGCAAATCATTTTGGTTTCTTTCTCACGCCAAATAGCACCACGTATAAAAAGTATGGTCATGGAGTATATATAGCCTTGCACATAAGGGGGTATTCAGCAGTTTTTGGAAATGAATGAACAATCAGTTTTGGTTGGGCGATAGAGTCGAGACCAAGCTGATCACCACGACACTGGGGCTGCGCATACCTTGCTAGTCATTTTGATAGTGGAAATACCATGATTGAGTATATGAGATCTTCTTAAAATCTGATATTCAACGACGAGCAAACCTGGTTGCTCCAAGTGGGTTTTATTTCCCCAGAATTAGATTAGGGGGCTTGTTCTAGCGAACCAAAGTACCACTGGCCCAAATTCGCCAACAGATATGGGCCCAAAATAATCCACATGGGGCAACACGTAAGCCTTTTGTCAAACTGCAAACGTTGTTGTGTATGCTATCCTATGAGAACTAAACTGGGTTTGCTAAGGATAGCCCTTTTAGGCCTGAGATGGGACAGTTTGCACGAGGCAGAGCTTTGGCTAGTAGATGCAGGAGAGTCGAATGGG